CTGGACCTTCAGTATGCGGTCAACCTTGTCTGTTAGCATATGCATGATCCCCGGGAACAGCATTTTCAAGCTGTCAAGCGTATTCTACGATATATTAAAGGCACACTTCATTATGGCATTCATCTCCCCGCTGGTCCTCTTGATTGTCTGGTTACTTATTCTGATGCTGATTGGGCCGGGTGTCCCACTACTCGCCGTTCTACCACTGGTTTTTGTGTCTTCTTAGGCTCATCTCTCATTTCCTGGTCCTCCAAGAAACAATCTACAGTTTCCAGATCTTCTGTTGAGTCTGAATATCGTGTGGTTGCTTTTCCTTTGGCTGAAACGGTTTGGTTAGAGAACCTTCTGTCAAAACTTCATATCAAGCTTCCTCAGCGCCCAGTGATCTTGTGTGACAATGTCTCTGCTACATACCTAGCTGCTAATCCTGTTAATCATGCTCGAACCAAACATATTGGTCTAGACATTCATTTTGTTCGTGAACGTGTCGCTGCTGGTCTTCTTCGAGTTCTTCATATCTCCACCCAGTCTCAACTAGCAGATGTATTCACCAAATCCTTACCTAAGGATAAATTTTATTCGTTTAGAACCAATCTATGCATGATTTCCTCCCCTGCTCCGATTGCAAGGGGATGATAGAATACATAAATACGGAAACCCTAATTAGGGTTTCTGATAATCACAGCTAGGGTTATTGTAATATTGTACTATATATATATGATATTGTACACATGTAATTACACACGAAAAATATTCTTTCAGAATTTAGTCAACAACTATATTCATACTTCATAGGTTGCCGACAATATATATAGTAATGATTTTTATATCTGACTAATTTGATGGTCCTAGGATTTTAATGCGCCATGACGGAGTTCAATTATATAATTTCTAGTCATTTTCGAGTATGTACATTTCTTGTGAATTTTGTTGGATTCAAATGAATGCAAAATCTAGCCTGAACTTGTCAAAAAGATCGACTATTCTAACAATTTGCAGTATGCACCACATTCTCTAACAACAGCGCAGTCATGTCACGGGAAAAAGAGATTCTCATTCTTCGGTATACAACATAAAATGAACAGTATATTATCGTGAAATAAACATTATTCTTATTTTGAGACGGACGCATTCATGTTTGTACGTAAAAGTTCAACTGCTCCAAAATGCTGACAACCATGCATCTCCAGCTTCATATCTCTTTGTCAACACCTATTCGTCCTCTCATGTACTTCATTGGATCACACAAAGCAACTCTCATGCATTTACCCATAATTTCTCCACCAAATCTGGCCCAAAGATATGATATCCATTTCCAGAGGACTTCAAAGAATACACTTAAAATTTGAAATTTTATGAAATAAAAGTGATTCTCAGGTTTTTTTGTCGTTCTTGTGGTTTGGAAAATGAAGAAATAGTTAACAAATAGTGTGGGTTAAATCTGTTTAGATCATTCTTTCTTTTCAGTGTTTAATTGATACTTTGATTTCGATATAATAATAATAATTTAGCGTAAGAACTATTTTTCTTGAACGGATATAATTTTTATTAATGAGTGTTAACCAGCTCAGGTAGCCCAAATCGAGCTGATTAAATTGCATGCACAAGACATGCTTGATTTCGAGGTAATTAAGAAATGCGTATCGCAGTAGGGAATAATCATGAATATTCCCAAACTATTCTAATAACACTCGTAATCAAAATGTGAATCATTGCTGTCAAAATTTATACTTCAAAAAAAATATTAAATAAATAAATGAGAAGAATGAAATCTTCATTAGCACCCTTTTTGTATCTTCCAAAGCAAAACGCAGATAAGATCTGACTCATTACTACACCTGTATATATCGATCTCAGCAAGAGTTTTTTTCCCTCTTTTCCTAAAGAAAAGATTAATAAATAATTCTAAAAATTATTTTCTTACTTAATTTGGTATGGTTCATGTGTTGTCCCTAGGCTTGCGAGTTGCGAGTAAATTCCAGCTAAAATCTGATAAAGAACAAACGAATGATACAAAAAGAAATGGACGAAAACTTGCAAGTTTCAGCCAAAAGTACAACTAACTACACACGATTTCTTGGAAAAATATAGTTGTGAATTATTATACTTTATAATGTTTGTATGCATATGTTATCACATCTCGTATATTAAGTTTAATATTCTGTCTGTCTCAAAAGAAAAATTATATCTAGTGTTCACTAACTCATTTAGCCAATGGGCATTGTTTTGTCATGAAACTGTTTAATTAATCATTTGAAGATCTTGAAAAAAGGTATAGTATTTAACACTTTACAGCCTAAACTGATCATTTAATTTATTGGATTTTCTCATATTTTAATTAAGATTTATGTAAAATATATTGAAGAGAGATTTTTCCAATGATTTTAGAGATCTTTGCTGAAGAAAGGTGGCCATCCAGGACACGCGCTAAAGAGTCCATGCAATCTCGAAAAGTTCAAGAATAAGATCGAGGTCGATGGTTGGCATTTTTTATTTATTTTTTTTACATTTTATATAATTCGTGAATTACTTTTTCCACAGAAAAACTAGGGAGGGAAGAAAAAAAAAAAAGAAGAGTATAATATAACAAGGGTTGTCTGATTAAAGTATGGAGAAACATTGTCATTTAGTATTAAAGTGCATGTACTTAATTTTTAAGCACGGTTTCAACTTAGAAACTGTCATTTTGATGGACTATAATTTTAATAAAAAGTTTAGAATCGATTCCTATATAGGGTCGAAGTAGATTGTTATTATTATGAGATCCGAAAATTCAAAATGTTGGTATTTTTTGTTTGATAAAAAAAGACAGATATTAACTGCATCGAGATTAACGAAATTACTAGTGTACAGTTTCATCGATGAATGGTAATTTAATAAGAGACATCTTGTGTGCTTAATTCTATTTACCAAATCATAAACTCTTCAATAAATAGAACAAATGGTTAATGATCAAGGTTGCCCCACCTCTTTTTTTGGAAATCTTTTTGGCCGAAGCACACTCAGTGGTTAGGTTGGCCAAAATTTTTCAAAACATACTTTCATTTTTTACTAACTCCGTCTCACAAAAATAGTCCATATTGAGTTTTTAAATTTGTACTAAAAACAGAACAAAACTCAAAATTCAATGTGGACTATTTTTGTGGGACGGAGGTAATAACATTTTTTGACAAAAGAATTCTTTGTGTACTGAATACAATAAATATTCAGAGTTGGTTCTGTCACTAATGACCAGTTTCAAACCATCGACCTCTCAACCACAACCATTTAGAGTTTGTTTTATCACCAAAACTTTGGCGATGAGTTTCTTCGTATTAGCAGAAAACCTTTTATATAAAGCTAGCAAAATGGATACTCTATTGAAGAAAAACAATATATAAAGAATGTCAATTAAGAAAAAAAATGTGGATTACATATATCCACAATTAAACTGATCATAATGTCATAGTCGTTATACTTAAGCATGACATTATCAGGAAAAGAGATACGACGTCTTAAATTATCCAGTTTGGCAAGAATAACTATAATTCACTACTGAGAAATTCATTAACACTGTATGTTCGTTCTAGTAGGATTTATAATTTTAGATCGCAAATTAGGGTACAAAACACTAGATTAATCAATCTCATGCCATCAACACACAAGCTAATTTATATTGGTACGTTAAGATATTTTGGAGTGGATAGTTTTCGCTTTCAATATTTTCAAGAACTTATGACCAAACCATATATAGAGTTTCACTAGGCTTCCAAGCTCAAAAAATTCAATTTGTCAAAACTTCTATTTAATGATATGAATTCATCCTGAATTTGACTCCATGTGCCAATCAAAGAGTCACTTTCTCATGCACCATACTTTGTACAACTTGTAATAATTATGTCCACAGTTGGAGAATTGAGAAATTTATGTATTGGTTGACAAATAATGTGGTACATATGAAATTATGGATATATGTGTATTGTTGGTTAATATATAGTGTTGTACAGATGAAAAAACACGAATGGTAATGTTATTCAATTAATTTGTAAAACTGTATACTTTAGATTTTTGTGTCACTTTTTCTGGTAACAACATTATACTCCCTCCGTCCCATAATTATTGTCCAGTTTGAATTTTCATTTTTAGTTCAAATTGTACTAAAAGTAAAATCTCAAACTGGACAATAATTTTGGGACAGAAAAAGTAATTCTTTTTATAGTTTCACTTGTGATTTCTTCACTCGAACACTCCAAGCAATGATAAATGTGTCAAAATATTAAAGAGTTCAAACAAAAACTCAACAAGTGAAAGATTTAGGATTATCACACTTTAAGATTTGGAAAATTCTCTATTTCTATACAACATTCGCTCGAACTTTGGAAATTCTTACGGCCTTTGTATCACTTAATATACCACATTCTTTACTTTTTAACAAAGTGAATTGTTAACTTTGATGGAGGGAGTATATAATAACACATTACTAGAAACTTATAACTATAATTGATAAGGTAAACTACTATTAAAATGTGTCGGAGGAACTAGAAAGTACACAATGACACAATACTAGAAACCTATAATTAGCGCATGAATCAAGATCATTCAATATCTCCTACATAAGACCAAAATCCAAGCCTACAAATTCTGTTTGACTTTTTTTGGTTTGACTTCTATAAATAAAAAATAAAAGGTTACAAACTCAGCAAGTGAAATTCACTTTGGAAAATTTAAGGTTACAAATTGAATTGACTTTTTAAACCTCTGTTTTTCTTTTTTCTTATATGTTTCTGTAAGAGTTTTTCTTGTCGGAAGTGATTTATCCGACTTGATTCCAGATTAGTCAGGTAACGAAATTTAGAGGTGTAGGAGGGAGAGCATTTATAGGCTTATGTGTCACATTTGTTAAGGACAATGAGAACATCATTGTCAAATCCTAATTACAAGCTGCCATCATCATATGGCCTCATGACCACCTTCCTATTTAAACCTCTCCCATTCCTCTAAACCCCCTCCACACATTCCCTCTTCAAACCATAACTAACTTCCTCTTAGTTTCCTCTTCTCTTCTTCTCTTTTTTCCCCTCAATCCATTTTCATCACACTAAAGATTCAAATCACAAAAATCTCACTTTCTGCTGTTGGAAACTAGTACCCTTTTTTATGCTTATAAACTCCATCCAAGTTTTCAACTTTTCTTGATGAATAATAATCAGTGTAATCCTTGCTTACCACCTTTGGTTAATCATTCTGGGAATGATGAACTCTTTGCTGGACGATGCATCCTTGTAAATGGCCCTGTAATCGTAGGCGCCGGGCCGTCAGGTTTAGCTGTGGCAGCAGGGCTTAAACAACAAGGAGTTCCATTCATAATGCTTGAAAGAGCCAAATGCATTGCTTCTCTGTGGCAAAACAGGACATATGATCGCCTTAAACTCCATCTTCCCAAGCAATTCTGTGAACTCCCTTATTTCCCTTTCCCTAAAGAGTTCCCTGCTTACCCTACAAAATATCAGTTCATTGACTACCTAGAATCTTATGCTGAACACTTTGAGATCAAGCCGAGGTTTAATGAGTCAGTGCAGTCAGCCAAGTATGATGAAACCTGCGGTTTGTGGAGGATCAAGACTGTCGTAAAAGGCGATAATTCGGTGATTGAATACATCTGTAAATGGCTGGTTGCAGCAACAGGGGAAAATGCAGAGAAAGTGGTTCCTGTTTTTGAAGGATTGCAGGATTTTGGAGGCGATGTTATGCATGCTTGTGATTATAAATCAGGGGAAGAGTTTGATGGTAAAAGGGTTCTTGTCGTTGGTTGTGGAAATTCAGGAATGGAGGTTTCACTTGATCTTTGCCACCATAATGCAAGTCCATCAATGGTGGTTCGAAGTTCGGTAAGTTCAAAACTCAATTCTTAAATAGTTAAATCTCCATTTTTTAAAATGTAAGAACAATAATTTAAGGTAGGCAGGGGAAACCCTGTTAATGAATGGCAGGAAACATAGTACTAATCAAATCAAATCAAATCAATCAATCATACTTCAACCTGAAACATGAAAACATCAAATGACTTGCAAAATTCTAACTAATTTCTTTTACTAAAAATCCACAGGTTCATGTCTTGCCAAGGGAAATTCTGGGAAAATCGACATTCGAATTAGGCGTAGCAATGATGAAGTGGCTACCCATTTGGCTAGTAGACAAGATTCTGGTCTCTATAGCAAGATTAATACTTGGAAACCTAGAAAAGTATGGTATCAAAAGGCCATCTTTAGGCCCTTTCCAGCTCAAAAACATTACAGGAAAAACCCCTGTTCTTGATATTGGGACACTACAGAAGATCAGATCTGGCCAGATAAAGGTTGTTCCAGGGATCAAGAAGTTTTTCAGAGGTGGGGTTGAGCTGGTGAATGGGAAAATTCTTGAGATTGATTCTGTTATTTTGGCTACTGGATATTGCAGCAATGTCCCATCATGGCTTAAGGTAAGAAACAGAGGAAGAAACCTCAAAAAGAGATAATTAGAATGTGTTTTACATGTGTCTTTCTCTGACTTCTTCTGTGTTACTGTGTGACTGTGTGAAAAAAAATATATAGTATTTGGTATTAACTGTATGTGGATTCCTGTGACCGTTATGGAAGTTGGTTTTTATGATTTTTTTCCTTAGATTCTATGTGCAATCCTGTCACAGGGTCAGTATGTTCCATCATTTAGTTTTCTGTTGGCTTCCATTTCTTCATTCTTATCCCTTTTTTTTTTTTTTAATTCTTTTTGGTTTTTTTGGTTTCTTCACCAAATTAGCTTTCAGAATGCACAGAACTGTAGATCTATGAATACAGTAGTAATAGTAGGTTTGAGTACCCCAAGGAAACCTTTTTTTATTTCTTAATTTTCTTCCCAATCCTCGAACACTATAGTCTCACATGTCAAAAAAAGAGTCTTGTTTGACGTTTATTATCCTTTTGGATTAGCCCGAACATGAGTTGTAACGATATTTTTGCATTTTTTGTGTTACAGGAGAGCGATTTCTTTACCGGAGACGGATTTCCAAAATCGCCATTTCCGAATGGATGGAAAGGAAAAGCAGGGCTATATGCAGTTGGATTCACAAGGAGGGGTCTCTCAGGTGCATCATTTGATGCCATTAGAGTGGCACAAGATATTGGTCAAATCTGGAAACAAGATTTATTAAAACAGAAGAAAAACCAAGGTGTTTCCTTCTCTTGCTGCCATGGAAGATCATCATGCAAGTCACATTTTTAAGTAAAATCCATCTTCAACAAAGGAAGTGTTTACATATCATTTTCTTTTCTTTTCTCCGTGCTCTTACTTTGCAAAGTGATAGAGAAAAAGGACCAAAAAAAAAAAAGCATAGTTTTTTTTTTCTTTTTTCTATGTAGATTATTACATATTGTGACTTAGCAAAAAAGGAAAGAAAAAGAGATACCCAGAGAGCAGCCCTCTCCCAAAAAAAAAAAAAAAAAGAGAAAGGAAAAGAAAAAAAAAATCCCAACTTGATTGGGAGTTTTTGTACAAAAGTGGAAGATGAGGCTTTTTTCCTGACCATTTAGGGTTTTTTTTTCCCTTCTTTTTGTTTAGTAGTATTAAAGTTCAATAATCTACATGTAATGTAACTCTCTGATGTAAATGTTCACGCAGAAAAAAAAAACGTTGTACAAGGTGCATTGGACTGTGTACCTTGCAGAAATGGTAGTGTATTGCATTTACCTATCAAATCTAAATTTATCGTAATCGAACCAGAAAATTAGTTTGAGCGTAATATATTTAATATTCACATTTAAAACCATTCAAGTAGTATTTTAAAGTGAGAAAACACCGAAATTTTGGTCCACCAAGTATATAATTGATATAGAAGATGGCTCTATATCTCAAAAAAAAAAAAAAAAAGAAAAATTGGTCCAAGAAGGGGGACCCAATGAATTATGGGTGGGTCCAGTATCTATATAATTCTTGAACATCCCTAAAATTAATGAATGTGTTTGATACCGACTTTTCACTGTTTTTGTGCTTAGGAAGTACATATATAAATTCTGAGAGTATCCATGTTGCCCAGCACATGGATAGAGCCCACTCCAATAACATTTTCTTAAACCAATAAAAGAATTGTGAAGGAAGAATATGCCGCCCTTAAACAATACTGGTTCCCTCTGTTTCTCAAAAATAGTCCACATTAAGTTTTGAGTTTTGTACTATTTCTAATACAAATTTAAAAATTCGATGTGGACGATTTTTTTGGGACGGAGGGAGTAACCCAATAAGTAAAAAACTATTTTGGGGGTGAAAAAATAGCTCTAAAGTTTTCCTTAAGTCAACTCAAAAGAATTGAAAAGGTCAACCTTCTTTTCAATTAACACAAAAGAGAGTACATATAGCCATTCACACTTTACTGTGGTGTACTTTGTTGTGTGCATTTTGCCAGTCGACACTAGACATTTGGTTGTTACTTAACATCAGAAACGAACAATCAGTAGAAAGACCGATTTTTACGAGCTAGTTCTATAGATAAGGACTTTTGAAAAGACAAATACAAAGGGTTTACTATGAAAAACATGGATTCGATCTCACGCGTGGCGTCTTGTCTTACAGATTGAAACAATGCATTCAACTAGAAGGGTCAAAACCCATTGCTATTTGTTATATAGGGTTTCCATGTTAGAAACTAGACAATGTTCATGGCCTTTGGCATCAATGCCACATGTAACTTGCCAGTCATTGTCACCTCCCAAAAATGCTTTTAAGGTGCAGCTATCTTAAATTCCATGAGACAAATGAATGGATTAAGCTGCTTCATTCCCAATGTGGCCTATGACTGCTACAGATTACAGAACCTATTCCATCCACACACATACAATACAGATAAACAAAAGGACAGACATCACAAAGTCAAAATATGAGAAACAGCCTCTCAATTTATTCACAAACATCAAGCTCTTCAAATTCAACCCTAAAACGGGTAGGAAAGAACATACATGCTTTGGACAGCTTAACTACCTAACAGGCTGTAAATGCTCCCTGTCAAGAGAGGTAATGTGATCTTCAATTGTACTTTCTGTAAACTTCAAAAAATTTTGTGTATAATTTTACACAAAAAGTGATACATATGATATTTCGATAAGACTTTACGCCCAGAAGCTTCATAACCATTTCCTTCCAAGGGGAGGAGAAAAAGGTATAAAGACATCCCATATGAGTACCCATGCTGTTCATTCAACCATGCAGAAAACCATTTGCCTAAGTGGCCCATCTAAAGTTGCTCTACCACCACACAACAGAATCTCACAAGAAGATGCAAATGTGTCAATCTCAAACCTGGATGAAGTAAAACTCAAACTCAAACTCAATTAGTCAACTTGCTTCATGAATACGATCGTGTTTGAATTTTGCTTTAGTTTCAACCATTGACATGGAAGCTACAGTTGTACTTTTGTCCTTTTCCCTTGGAACATTCTGAAGCTCACCTCAGTGGCTGCAAGATCTTCCTTAGATATAACTATTTTCAAGAGAACAAACACAAACAATGTGGTCTCAAAAGTACGACCATTATCATTTATCACCAAAGAAGAACCTTCTCTAATCTGTGGTGTGATACATGGCCATATAAAGTTCAGAACCTGTTAGTAGATGTAAACTCCTGTATTTCTAAGGCACCATGTTTCCTTTCTTCCGGTAAACAAATTTCAAACTTGGTTTTGCCTTTGAAATGGCTGCGTATTCAATGTCCTTATGTAGTCCCCTCGTGTCCTTAGATGACATAAGCATATAGTTTCCCATATTTTCTTAGTCGTACCAACACTCAATATTGCCAAATGTAACATGGCCACACAACAGAAACTCAGAAGAAGATAACTCATTGATTTCAAACCGAAATCTTGGAAGAACCTTTGTTTGAATGATTGAAATTCATCCTAATACAACGGTGATCCTCATAGCACATCCTTCTATCTACAAGCAGTGTGGTTATATGTCAATCTCAACCCTTGATAAGTAGAACACAAACTCAACTCAACTTGGTCAACTTGCTTCATGAATAGGACCACGTTTGAATTTTGATCCATTTTCAACCATTGACGTGGAAACTACAGTTGTATTTGTCCTTTTCCCTTGGAACATTCTGAGGCTTGCCTCAGCTGCTACAATATCTTACTTAGATATCACTATTTTCAATAGAAGAAAGCACACATAGGGGTCTCAAAAGTACATCCACTATCCAGTATTTAGTTATCACCAAGAAAGACCAGTCAATAGAAGGAAACTCCTGCATTTCCAAGTTCCACGTACATTTCCTCTCTCGTGGCAAAACATATCTGAACTTAGTTTTTTTCTTTAAATGATGACAAAGCCTGTAGTCTCTCATGTTTCCATAACAGTGCTGAAAACATTTCCTATGCTTACTTAATCGTAATGATGAAGATGCCTAATGCAATTCAGGGGTTTAATGCCAGAGAACCGTTGTTAGTCACATGAAGCAGCCTCGTACAAGTTTTTGTTAAGTGTAGTAATCCAGTATCCCTTCAGGTCTTTACATCCACTAAACAAACATAATGGAGATACCAAGAACAAATGGACGGAACAAACTCCAAAACAGAGAAATTAACTTATTCTTATGGAAAGTTACTTGATCAGACCAGCTAACCTTTAAAACACATGCAACTAGCAGGTGCACACCAGATTACATGATGTTCAAAGCACGTACATAGCATAATGTTATAAGACAGATTGAGCAGATAGCTAACTGATTTCAAGCTTGCATATAATACACTTTCTTGATGTATTTAAATCTCATAAATAAGAAGTATTTTGTATTAGACCTCAAAATTATTACTGTATCTCTGCAACTAATAGGTGTACATGGACAATCATGTCAGAAGCTTATATGGTCATAATTTTGGAAACTTTATAGGAAGGGAGAAAAATTCTGCAATGGATCTTTCTCACTTTCAGAATGAATACCAAACTAAGAATGAAGAAACTTAGTAAATAACTAATAAACCAAATAAATACAGTGCAAAATGAAAAGTAATGCATATTCACAACAAACACAAAGTGAAAGCTACCATTAGACATCTTATTCTTCCACAATGAAGTCAAAAACATGATTCTGCAATAAAACAACGTAAATCTTCTTTTGCCTTAGAAAGAACATTCTGGTCGTGAAAATTCTATGTGAGGTGATTCTCCAAAATTGCTTGAGGTGAGAATTATATCAGGAATTCCGAGTTCGCACCAATCCCAGAAGAACCACAAAATTCCATTCAAATTAAACAGTTTGTAGTTACACGTGTGAGGTCCCTTGTATAGGTCAAATAATTCCCTCTATGCATAATCAAATCATATACTTCTCATATTTTATAAGCGTATAATTTTGATTACAACAAACACTACTGAGCTTTCGCTATTAATCATAGAGTCAACTATCAACATATCAACGCTAGTTTCACAGGAATAAAAACTAACCTCAACTACCTATGATGTTCCCTTCAATGTGGCATTAGCATTGATTACATCACCTTCGACCTTCAAACTAACAATCTACCTCATGAAATTCACAGATCGAACAACGTTGTCAAAATCCAGACCTTGGCAGGGAACGAATTACTCAGTTAGGAGCATCTTGTCGATTTCCCCATTCTGGTTGTACATGCTAACAATTTTCTTAGAGTATGATGGCATGTGCCTATCAGCTCTGCATTCACAGAAAATTAATTGAGAAAGAAACCACTAATTTACTCTTTCAAGAAATCAGTTTAGCATACCTTTCTTTTCCCCATACGCGATTTACATGCAAATAATTTCTAATTGTATGGTAGTCCAGGGAATACCGGGCAAATTCAAGACCTTTTGGCCCAAACTGAAAATAAGATTAACACTAAAATTAGCACAATGCGCAATTCATTGAAGCTGAACATGAGAGTGGTTCAAAAGCAAGGGCCTCTCACAAGGTTTAACAAGAATGCTATGAAGTTTCCAACAAATTTTGGGGCAGGTTGGGGAGGACCTCGCCCTGGCAAAACCAGAAGAACGGGTTTTAGTTGAAAGGCACAAACATATATGCATATAGAATTCACAATGTAATCAAATTTTGTGACCATAACATACCAAACTTGGCATTATCATCAGCCTTCACTGTCTCCATGACAAATGGTCGCCGATCACCCTGTAAAATCATAATTTAGTCAACTTACAAATGGAAATAACTCAGAGGAGAGGGCCCAAGGATGACTATAGTCCATCACCTTACTAATTGTAGGAGTAACTTCCAAGAGGTGTTCCACTAGTTTTATCATTTCCCTGCCTCTTTCATTCCTTCAAATGTACAAAGGAAAATTTTCCCTCTTATACACTTTTAATGAACTTAGCATGTAAAAGGATGCCAGAATCAGTGGGGGAAAACGAAGAGACTGCATAATAAAATTACTTAATATCTTACCTGACAGTAACATACTGTGGATGCTGTGGCATGCTGACACCACTATACTTTGGAACACCCATGTATCCCACCACCAAATCCTGATTGCCAAAAAAGAACAAAGATTTTCAACAGTTAGGAAGACACTACAACCAAAGTTTTTTTTGGTCATTTTGATTTGACCACAGAATGTGTGCTTGTGTCTGCGTGCGTGAGAGAGATAGAGAGACATAACAATTGATATAAAAATTCAATACCTACAAGCAGGTAGGAATCTAAAAGCATTTACTTGAGCAAACATCATGACCTAAATCTAGTTTTACCCTCAAGTCCCAGGTTGATGAAGAGAAAACTCACCGCTAAAGCATTGGTATAGTCAAAACAGCTGCAAAAGCCATAGAAACATTTTGGATTCAGAAGCAGCTTACAGAAAACAATGATAACAGTGGAAAAAAATTGGTAACAGGCGCAGCAGATAGCTCAAAGCAGGAAGATAGAGAAAGATGACTTCAGGAAGACAACAAAATTAAATATTTGGCATCGAGCAGCACAGCCGGTTATTCTTCGTGAAACCATTGCTTTGAAAAAAGTCCGTGTTCACTGAAAACTTAAAATTTATAGCATAATCCATGGCTTTCACTTCAGCAATATACTAATGATAAAAATATGACCACAGCATGATTATGATTGATTGACCACCATGCAGTTTTGGATCACAATAGAATTAGTAATCACCTGTAGCAAGATGGTGCAATGACATCAACTAGATCATTTGCTGGTAAACAGAAATAGGGAACCTGCTTTAGTGAAATATGAATTCAATGAAGTGGAACACCACCAAAGCTCAGAAAGTTCAAAGTAAGGTAAACACCGTTTTACCTCTTCAATATGACCATCCAAATGTTTCAAGTGTACCTAAACAAATAAACAATTTAGATAATATATATGGTAATTAGGCTGCACAACAACAAAGAATCATCATAATAATACATGAGAAATACAGCTGCTGCAGCATTTGGAGTTATTTGTATGTATCATTAAGAAACTCAAGCTCATCTAATATAATCGGCAATACTACTAATAACAGTAATGTAATGAGTTTCGCTCACATTACACACAGCTACAAACAGTATTAAAAGCCAAGTTTCAAAGACTTTTTAAGAGTAAATACTACATTACCTATTACACTTTAACATAAAAGTATCATAAACAAAACTTAGATTTTTAGAACATGATCCACACAGCTGAAACAGATAGATAGACGAGAAAGAGAACTTAATTATAAAAGTGCTACATAATGAGACCTTCCACATAAAGGACCCTAGATAAGTTCAGGAAAAACGTTAATGCTCAAATGATTGGACAAAAAATATACAAATATTTCAGCCTTGCCCATATTTTGTCTTTTTTCAAATTCAATCCTCTGATCATGGTACAAAGTCCCAGGAACGCGAAAAGACAACTACAACTAAGCCTTAGTCCACTAGTCGACGTAAGGATCATATCTGCCATTGTGTTCTGTGCAAAACTAAAGAAACATAAATACAACAAGAAGGCTTTTTCCCACTAGGTGGGTTCAGCTCTACGGATCCTATGTCGCCATCGAGCTCGATCATTATATAAATCATCATCTCTCAAAAATTAAAAAATTTCAAGTTTTCTTAGGTCTACCTCTTGCCCTCTTAATAGAAACATAAATAGAAAATTATATAAAAAAATAAAAACTTTAAATAAAGAACACTAACCTTGTAATCTTGCATAAACTCGTAATGGAGAACAGTTTCTGGTTCACTGCTAGCTGCTTTCAGGAATTTATCTAAGCCTTCTCTTGTTCCATTATCCACTATAATGAAATCAGAATCGAATGTTAGTAACTTGAAGCAAAGTAAAGTGGAGAGGGAGAAACAAAAGCTTTCACTTTCGTGCAATCTAGCAATGTGCATGATACGATAGTACTAACTCAGAGGCATAACCCAAAATTTTAAACTTTTAGCAATCCTCAAAAAAAAAGGGTTTAACCAAAATTTGGTCTTGATTTGACCGATAGACCAAACACTACTACTTACCACAATTAGTGCCCAGAACATAAAGCTTCTCCAAATTTAGGTATTTTTCAACAGATCTCAATGCTGCAGTTTCAGAAGTTGCACAGTATTAAGGGAATGCATATCAATGATATCATGCTGAGAAAATAAATGAATATAGAAAACTTGGTGATGCACATAATACCTTGCACTTGGCACCCAACACCACAGAAAAGAAGGCGCTTCACCCCTGCAGCCTGTCACATGGAAGATCCAGAATTACTTAACTTTAACAGATACACACATACCTAAAATAACAAATGCTCATCAAAACAACCAAATTGCCCTACAGAAATCATGAACTAAAAGTTCACCAAGTTCTCCACAGGTAAGTCCCGCTTATTTGCCATTTGAAAAGTGAGGTAATTTGATTATCAAATTTCTCTTGGACCATGTAGCCTATCACTAAGAAGTTTAATGCAAGAAATCAAATGCACTGATAGCGAGCAGTTGAGAGACCCATCAAGTTTACAAAGTAGACAGGACATTTAACAAGTCAAAATCTCAAATCATTGACATTAATGAGACTAAACTATGGTAATCAATGCATAATGGTGGTAAATTCAAGTTTAGATTCAAAAACCTCTGCTGCCTTAGATAGCTTAAAAGTTGTTGGATCGAGATTCTTTTGAAAATACTGCATTTGGCTAAGAAACAAAAGCCCCATAATATTTCATCAGAGCTCTAAAAGCTCAGTCTTTATTTCCATCATTCTGGGGTGAAATCTAATTATCAGGAAGTCCTAAAATTTGGAATATTTAGCTTGAGAACCACAAAATTGTAACAAAAACTATCAAAGTATACTTTCTTAACCTGATAGGCTAACTGATGATAATTAAGGTAATCAAAATCCTTTAATTTACGAGTAAAATATAAAAGTAAAATGCACTCAAACATATGTCGAATGTAAGAAAGAAAACAGAATTAATGCTAAATTCAGCGGATAACCTCAACCAAGGCAAGGGTATTAAGATTAGGGGACAGAGTCGGCTTAACACCTCTTGCTGCTATTACTTCCTCTGGCGTCCTAACAGATCAACGTGGACAATAAGTAGAACATACTTCACAAAAATAGCAACACTTATGGCAATGAAGGATGTGAGTTGAAATAAAGGATTTAACCTTGCTAGAACAGGTCGGGGGGAAAATCTATCTTCAGGATCACTAAGATAAAGAAAACAAAGACACAAGACCAAGAAGCATAAGTAGCTGTCAAAATGGATTCTAGCAGATCTACAGTGGAGATAGAAAGTTTATACAACATAAAAGGTACCAAAAAACACCTCTGTACGCAGATAACAGCTTCTACCATTCCCGCTTTAAGCATTTCAACAGCAATTGTTGTCACTATACCAGTCCACTGAGCTCCTACAAAGTTAAATGGTAGTTCTATCAAGATACATAGATCACCTACTTTTTCAAGGAAGTACAGGCACTTAAGAGGTGTAACAAACAACCATTCCCCTCAGATTGAAGCAATGATAACATCGGTGAAATGTAGTTCCCATAATTGTGTTTCAAATGAAACAAATTTCAATCATCATATAACAAGAAAGAGAACCTTTTCATTAACAAGATGACATATACATCCTGTTCCTGAAGTTTATTCACGTCGAGACTAATATTAAAGTAAAACTTATTTCTATACTTACTTTCAGCTCAAAGCAAACAACTCCAACTTGAATATTTCGAAGAACTCTTCATAAATTATGAAAATGAATAGCATTCCATGGAATGTGGGAGAATCAAGAGAAGCACGCTTCCCTTAAACAGGTTTTATCTCTTAAAATGCTGACCTTCAACCGGCTGGATTTTCCGAGCATACAACAAATCTTCATATACCCCAAGATAATTCTCGTCAAGTGAATCTGCCTTCCGTCCTCGGCCATGGATTACCGGTTCCAGGGCCTAAGCCAAAAGACACATGTAGATTGTTTAGCATAAACTAGAAACAAAAGCATTGTCTAGGATGAACGGCCTACGATTAAGCAATATTTGAAGGAACAATTCAGGTCTTGAGTAGAAAGCCTCATTTGAAATGAATGAGCTCATTCACTTCAAGTCCCAGAACCACAAATCTTTAATTTCCAAATAAAGCATTAGTTCACAGGCAGAGGAAACAAAATTCGGGTATCACGTACAAAGATAAGCCACATTTGGAAGAAATCACCAAGGACCAAATTCAGATACAAAAGTACAAAAAAAACTCACTTCGATTCTAGACATGCCATCTCCAAGGAAAGCACAGGCATTCTTGACATGTGCAATATAGTAAGTGTCACAGAGTCCACATTTGCTGCCAACAAAAGGAAACAATCTTCAGAGACCATTTTCAGGCATTCATTCAAACAAAGGAACAAAACCCTCCAAACTTTTCTCCAGAAGACACATATCCACAGTAAACTAACAAATTGGGAACCCAATAAAAATCACAAGAAAATATGAAACCTGCAATGGTCCTTGGCAGGATAAGTCCCACCTGGAGGAATGGGTTTGGACTTCTTCCTCCAATCATCCCTCAGCTTCACCGGCTTCGAATTTGTTTCTGCGCATGATTCTTCAAAATATCAGCCAAAATGAACAACCAAGAACAAATAAGCGCCAAAATGAAAAAAACAACCACGTAGTTATGACTCTATAACATAATTAATACGAAGAACTATATCCATTTCACCATAAAGTTTCGATTTTTTGTTTTCCCAGAATTAAAAGAGACCTTTGGAGGATGAAACAACTGAGAAAGAAAATGGAGAAGACGGGCAAGTTCCAGTAAGCAGAGCCATAGCTAGTGTGTGACTGTGTGTGAATAATAAGATAACGGTGAAAACAATAGTCTTGTTAAAAGATCAATGTCACAATCCTAATATTAGAATACAGTCTAATTCGATTCCAAATTGTCTGAGAAAAAAAATTTTTAAATAAAGACTAAACTGTATAAATGGTCCCCTACATTTGTCCGAATTTAAATTTTGGTCTCCTACATCAACATGTATATGGATTGAGCCTTTACATTTCATTTTGAAACTTTTTTTTTGTCTCTTTTCACTGTTTCGTCACCATTTCCGTCTTGATGACCGTTGACCTTACTAAGTCAGGGGTATTTTCGGAATGACACATATAAGATCAAAATAACAAATATTTAAATGGTCCCTACATTTGTCCGAATTTAAATTTTGGTCCCCTACATCAACATGTATATGGATTAAGCATTTACATTTCATTTTGAAACTTTTTTGGTCTCTTTTCACACTGTTCCGTCACCATTTCCGTCTTGATGACCGTTAACCCTACCAAGTCAGGGGTATTTTCAGAATGACACATATAAGATCAAAATAACAAATGTTTTTATAATAAAATAGAATAAAATATTAAAAGTTATTATTTTATAATAAAAAATTAAATAATTTAAAAATAAAAAAATTAAAATGATTTCAAATTTTAAATTTCAAATTTTTTTTTCACTTCCCACCTTTGTGGGTCCCACATGCCAGTCAATTTCTCCCCCTTTTTTTGCTACAGTAAAAAAAATCAAAATTAAAAAACAAACTTACCTTCACCCGTTTTTTAATTTTGACGGGTGAAAGTAAGTTTATTTTTTAATTTTGATTTTTTTTTACTGTAACAAAAAAAGGGGGGAAATTGACTAGCATGTGGGACCCACAAAGATGGGAAGTGAAAAAAAAATTGAAATTTGAAATTTGAAATCATTTTAATTTTTTATTTTTATTTTTAAATTATTTAATTTTTTATTATAAAATAATAATTTTTAATATTTTATTCTATTTTATTATAAAAACATTTGTTATTTTGATTTTATATGTGTCATTCCGGTAGAGTCACGGTCATCAAGACGGAAATGGTGACGGAACAGTGTAAAGAGACCAAAAAAGTTTCAAAATGAAATGTAAAGTCTCAATCTATATACATGTTGATGTAGGGGGCCAAAATTTAAATTCGGACAAATGTAGGGGACCATTTAAACATTTGTTATTTTGATCTTATACGTGTCATTCCGAAAATACCCCTAACTTGGTAGAATCAACGGTCATCAAGATGGAAATGGTGACGGAACAGTGAAAAGAGACCATAAAAGTTTCAAAATGAAATATAAAGGCTCAATCCATATACATGTTGATGTAGGGGATCAAAATTTAAATTCGGACAAATGTAAAAGACTATTTATACAGTTTAGTCTTAAATAAAAGTTCTTACCCGATTATCAATTTTATTTATTTATAAACTAAGTCTCCTGTGAGAAAAATGTCTGATCTCATGTTACAATCCTATACCATTCCACTCAAGCATAATGTATGTGGGCATTGCCATATGGTTGTTGGTTACTAATGCTCACTGAACAAGGCTGCATAAATCTTTTTATACACTTAATAGAAATATTGATATAAGTTTATTTGTTTTGATAAAATAAAAGAAACAAATGCCTAAAATTCTAACGTATTAGTATTATATATCATTGATATGAAACACCGACAACATCGTATTTTAACTACGGTTTTATTATATGTGGTGATTCACTTAATTACATACGTGGTAGTCTTTCAGCTAAATAATTTTCTTTAACAAAAAATATGTTAGGCTTAATTAAATAATTTGAATTTTGGTTCTATAAGTGTATCCATCATTTTAATGTGATGTGACACCAAAAGAATAAGATTTATAAGCAAATTTATATATATATATATATTTACATAAGGAATTTATTGTTTCACTCTCTCTTGCTTTTGGATAAATTTTGATGAGTGAATGCTTCGGATCAGATGATCGAAGGGCAGCCGACCAAATTTGGGAAGTTTTTGATGTGCGTTATAATATTAATCTATGATGTGCGTTATAATATTAATCTATAAATTTTAACAAACTAATCATATTCTTTTGTGTGTATTTCAAGAAGGATGATAATTAAAGCGAGTGTATAGAAATGTAGACACTAGAATAATAATTAAAAAATAAAATTGGCTGCCAAAAATGGCTGTTCAAGTAAATTCAAAACTTTGGATTTAGACCTAGGGCGTTCTCTTAAAAAATTCGTATATGATCCTGCATTTCATGGATATAACTAAAGATATACTATATTTTCATTTTCTTTTCTATTAAAGACAGTTAATAGATTTGAATTATTGTGATTGATTTGTTAATCATTATGTGATGTGATTAATTACTAACCATTTTTTTTTCCTTAAGCACGATGACTTGATCTGGCTTGAAAGTTGAAAACATAACAAACAAACAAAAAATGACATTCACCTAAATAAAGTCTCGAATTTTCAATTTTAATAGAAATTGCTTAAAAAAATAATTGAATATTCTTCAGGAAAGGATAAGCAAAGCCTAACCAAAGTTTGAAATATTTTCAAATATACATCATTTTGTAGAAAATAGAAAATAGGATCGACATGATGTATAGTTTACCCTAGAAATTAGATAGTGATTCTATAATTGGAATTTTTTTTTCCCACTGAAAATTACAGTGGAGGTAAATCACTCTAAGGCAAACTGGGGGTTACAAATTCATGTACAAAAGCAAGAGTTTTTATTTATATAAATTTGAGATAACAAACCTTCTGGAGATACATTATTGTGAGAGTGAGAGTAGTTTTATCACTGAATCAATACTGCTTCGTTAGCGGAAGTCATTTTTATTGTTTTCCTTAGTTCATTTGTATTCAGTTTGCCAATTTTTACTTGCTCTAAAAATAACCCAAAATTTGATTAATTCTCTCAACAATGAATTCCTTCTTGTTGAAATCAGAGACTAGAGTCTAAGTTAAATTAAATTTCAGCAACATTTTTCCCTGAGATAGATTACTAATAATATGACTCTGAGATGGTGATTAAATTAGTTTTTAGGTGAATATAGATAATCAGAACATTTACACTATCTAGCCTGTCAAAACTCTTCTAGACTAGAAATATGTACTTTCTCCGTCCCATAAAAATAATCCACATTCAAGTTTGAGTTTTGTACTATTTTCGGTACAAATTTGAAAACTCAACGTGGACTACTTTTTTCTTTTTTGGGGACGGAGGTAGTAACTTTTTGTGGAGGAAAAAGACTCAAGTAACAAAGAAAAGGTGTCTCGTAAACTGAGTTTTAACCTAGTGAATCCAATGAAAAGCGAATATTGACAGTTTTCACGAAAATACATTTCAAAGAAGTGAAAATAGACAATTAGACATTAAGTAAATTTCGGAATTCTCATTGATCCAATGAACTTGCTGATGCAACCCCATAAGATAGATAAGCATGGCTTAGCCCTTAATACGACATGAGAATTATACAAATCCTTCTGCGAGGCAAAGGTAACATTTCAAATGATACTGCACTAATCTTTCTCATTCATACAATGGTGGGTAAGCTACAAACATTTCCATCGCAACACAAAACGTTAACATTACTGCCTCTGAGATACACTTTCTGCCGTTTTGCGACTTCAAGGGAAAAGAAAAGGATACAATGTTTTGCTATATAACTTTCTTTTTGAAGTAATAACAAGAAATATGATACATTTTACCTTTTGGCAATACAATCACGGAACCTGGTGCCTATCCTCTAGACCCACCACGACATTAAAAACGTAGGCCTGTCATCTTTTATTGCTAACAGCATCAAGAGTCACACAACAATTGCATCTCTTGACATTGCCAACAAAATACAATATTCTTCTAACTTGAAAGAATGAGACTATAAGGGTCACTCACAATATACAACTGCGACCTCCATCTTGTACAAAACTTAGTATGGAGAGGAACAAATGAAACCACCAGAAAGGTCCATAGGGAGAGGAAAAAGAAACCACCCCATGTAGGTCAAAGCAGCTTACTAGTTCGCCGCCTTGATGGTCCTCCAGGGAAAAGCTTCATAATCCATCCCAGAACTCTCTCTACCACCTAATCATAAAAGGAATTCATTTCAGTAAAAACAGCACTAAACATACCCTAGTGAGATAGTTAATTTATATTAGAGAACTTTTCAAATGCAAACTAACTATGAAGGGAGAGAAATTCAAACGTTCTAACCTAAAATTTTCAAACAAAAGAGTAAAGGAATAACTACCTCATCTCCTTCATCAGCGTATGGAGTGTTGTCATTTGTAATATGAGAATCAGGTAGTCTTGCTTGGACACCATCATTTACCATACTCTGGGCAGTCAAAAGCTCTAATCTTTGGGTTTGAACTTCAAGCTTCCGGGTCAACTCCTTGTTCAGTTCCTTCAGTAAGATGAATTTAAATCAAAATAAAGTCAGTCGCAGCTAATAAACCAAATACAACATCAACCTTGTCAAATCCATCGCAGTGATAAAATTATGATTCCTACTTTTCTACAAACAATATGACTAGTCAATTGACTGGTAAAAAGCAAAATTAACATTCTTCAACGCTATCCAAATGCAATAAAGCAAATCCAGAGTGGTCAATAATGAATAAGGCTTGGAACAAAACTTTCAACAGGGCTCTAAATGCAACCAAACTTGTGTTTCATTCTCTTCCCTTCTTAGGTTTTCATTCTTACTATCCTTTTCCAAAATCTGCTCAAGACGAGCAATAACAGACCCAAAATATATCTAAGAACAGGAAGATGCTCTTATTGACAGTACAGTGAGAAATGCGCATGCCATTCATAACCAGGAAAAACGGAAGAAAAATCACAAAACAAGCATTTTTTATCCCACTATCTAGGTCAGCATAGATCATCTGTCATCATCATGCACGATGAACATGCATATTTTCATTTAAATTTGAACATATCATATCGTGTTAGTAGTTTTGCTCAAAGTCTTTTTGGGTCTGCCCCTAACCCTTCATAAATAGAAACAAAATGGTTATTGGTGGGTTGCCAGCCAGAAAGGGCTAACTTCCGCCTAGTCAAGGCGCATCAATCCATCCATAGGGACCGGCTTAGTAAATAACTTAGATGTTTGCCCAGCTGTTCTTCCAACTTTTAAATTCTCATTGATCCTATTATACATGAAAACTAGTTCAATTACTGCATCCCTTTCCTTACTAACCCAAACGCAAAACAGGTTCAATTCCAAATTGCCCCGTATAAGCAGAAAGGGCGTTGAAAACAATACCAGAACCTTTAACATAACCAGAAAGGGCCTTTTGAAAACAATACCTTAAGTTTAGAGCTTTGAGATGATTCGGCAGACAATGCTTGCACCAACTCTTCTTTCTCCAAAGCCAACTGCAGACACAAATAGTGCAATAACACATCTAAGCTTCAACAACCATGCTATAGGCTCACACGAAGAGTCAAGACAAAAGATAACCACAGTTATGGAGCATAAATCTAGGACAATAATAGTACAAGCCAACCTCCGAAATTAATGTGTTGATGTTCTCAATCACTCTAAGCTGATCAGAAGGAATGACCAATGATCCATCTTGAAGGTTGAACTCTCTGTTGTCATGCAGAACTGGGAGACTGTAGACATCATTTCCAGGGAAAACAGATGCGCTCAAGTTGGTATTTAAATTTTCATTTGCATCTGAGAAAAGTACATCCCCAATCAAATCAATTATATATACAGGACAAAAGAAAAAAAACACCAAAAGAAAAGCCAAAGAAAGAGCTGTGCTGAAGTTAAGACAATAAGAATAAATACCAAGATCCTCGGTCGAAGTCGAAACATCTTGCTTAATTGTTGTACTCTTGGTAACCTCGGGAAGCTTCCCGTTTGCAGATGCTTTCCGAAGTTTAGAATGCAATACTTTCTTCTCTGTCCAAGAGGATAAGTAAATGAGATCTCAAATGAAGTTCAAGATACTTGTTTGCAAACTGGTAAAAGGCCACGAGTCAAGTCTAAAAGGTCAAAATTATCCTTTTATTAAAAGCATCAGCATGTTACACATGAAAATCGGTTAGGAGATCCAAATAAAACTAAGTATAATTGCAAGTACACCATGCTTTTTAATTTCAACCAGCACAACAATTTATATTTTACATTATGCAAAATCCATCATTCCATAATACTTCAAGATGCCCAACAAATCATGATGACTTATTACCCAAATGTCCTACAGACTCAGTCCCCTATATTGAAAGTTAAAGACTGAGAAAACAACAAGGTAGAAGGTCTTTACTTATGCACATGATGAATTAGAATGCCGGGGATCATACAAAAGAGAAATAGTATAGCTCTAATACATCAGACATACAACCAAATCCCACGATGTAAAGTATTGCTGTGTTTTTCTTCTTCATTAAGTAATTTATTAAATTGCTTTTACAATAAAATACAACTATATTTACCTGATAACACAAAAGTACTTAGAAAACGATGAAAGATAAATTACTTAGGGAAATCTCATTCAAAAGAAACTTCCTGTGTGTTTCTGCTGATTTTAATGAAAGGCTTGACAATAATAAACAGAGGGAAAAAATTTGGGCTGCTGTATTACCTTCTTGTAAAGCATCAATAGTAGATTGCAGATCCTGACGATCCTTTTCAAGAACAGAAATCTTTTTTCTGCACGAGGCATTGCAATAACAGTTAAGAGTTAATAACAGGAAGAACAGAAACAATGACAAGAAAATCAACACCAACAATTCATGCATGCAAAGTTCCCCTCAACTAGTGCCAAAGTTCAATCAAACCATATGGGAAATTTCATATGCAGGATCCAAACAATATTTTTTTCTTCCGATCTAGTTTGAGAAAGGTTAACCCATTTGCCTTCAGCATGAGTAATGAACTTACAAATGTTTCAATGAGAAACATTAACTGGGATCCAAAATGCAAACCCAGAGGCTTGTAAAGAATAAGAACAATACTCCCCAAGAAAAGGATAAATTATTCAAGAGTAGTACAACATCAGGGGCAAGATCAACAATATTTTCTCATCCAAATGCAGCTCCCAAGACAATGCAATTTCCCCTTCCTTGACAACGATGCTACAATTTATTATTAAAACAAACCATTCAAATCTTAGATTTTCAACATGAGCATGGATCCCTTAAATCAGCCAAATCAAAGTTTAATCACACACATTCACGTTAATTACTAGGTCGACATTTCAAAGAAAATTTGTGTACAAGAAAATAAACTCCATTCTCATTTACTGCCAAAAAAACAAAAAAAAAAAAAATTGTTTAAAAAAAATGGAATAAGCAAGCAGTAACATCGCAGTGGAAAATGCTAATCTGATATTCTCCTCTTTCTCGCCAAACACTAGCAGATCTTTAATGAGAAAAAAACACTGGTCAAGAACATACTGAGCAAATTTTCATTCATCTGCTATTATATTGTACAATACTTTAACTAATTCAAATAAAAACAAAGACAGGCATTCCTACATGAGAGTGGGAGATACCAATAGAAATTAAATAAACATTTAGCTCATCAAAAATGAATAAGGAAAGCATACTTGAAAGAAGAAATTTCAGCTTGCAACTCCTCTAGTTGTCTCTCCAGCTTTAACTCATTAGACCTCAATCGTAGAGCCTATAGAAATCATCAACAACACATTTTACATTAAAACAGACAATCAAAATACTAAAATAAAAAAGATTTAAGGAAATATAGAAAATTTATTCCTGCAAGCAACATCCGAGGAAGCAAGCCAAACAAACCATCACATTTCATAATCAAAGGTCCATGTTATATATAATCTGATTAACATCTTTCCCTTATAGTATTACCATTTGCTAATCATACCAGGACAAGAGCAAGCAAAAAGATACCTGCCCTGCCTTACAGTAGAATCTGAATCCTCAGTAATGAGAGATGTCCCAACATAAGAATAATATCAAACAGAAAAATCCAATAGAAGTTCATAGTCCTTTCAGATTAATAATTGAATTGCATAGATTATATTTAATATCCACTCCATCCCAATTTTTAGCAAGATTTTCCCAATGAAGATCTTTTAAAAACATCATTTTACTCTAAGAACAAAAGTCTGCACCAACCAGAGGCTCAAAATGATTGTAAACAATCCCAGACAGAGGATGGTTGTGCACAAGGGAATGTTTTATAATAAAGATATAAATTTATGACTACAAGTGAAATAAGTTAGTGTCATTATATCCAAGAGCTTTGTGTTCACGAGTAAAGTAAAGGAGCAAGAATGGATACGCGAGAGAACCACTCAACAGTTCACAAGAATTTAATTCAGATAGATTATATGATAAAAGAATTGACTTCTTTTTCACAGCATTTACTCCCAAACAATATGTCAGCAAAACATCCAAATGAGCAACTAATCGATCTCAACTTTTCCGTGCGCAATATCCATCATAGAACTCTTCATGCAGTGCATATACTAGCCATAATAGATTACCTCAGACACAGCATAACTTGATCAAATTTTTGCCACAATAGAACCTAAATGTACCTTTTCTTCCAAGCCAATAACTTCAGATGCTAGTAACTTGGCACGCTCATCAGCTGCATTACATTCCAATTGTGCATTTGAATATTCTGCTCTGACAGCTTCAAGCTCCATCTGAAAAGAAAATAATTAATCATATAACTCCACTCCACACTTCAAGAAACAATCTCAAGACATTTATAAATTACAAAAAAAAAGATAAAACCACACAGCAAAAGAGATCATAAATCACTGATCAGGGATTGTTCCCTAACCAAGAGTATGGTGGGAGAATTGGAGACAGAGGAGAAACTTAGGATGTTCATTACTCAGAGGCTTTGAGTTTTGAGACTCAGGATCTGAAGGTGTTGGGATGTTCGAGAATGATGTCTTCCAAAATCAAAGAACAGGAAGAACACATAACACTTCTAAAGACTTCTCACTCTCAAACAATATCACTGACTCTACATTCCATACTTAATCTTATTGCCCAGACCATACTCAACTACCATCAATATCTTACAAGCTTCAGTGAAGTTGTAGATTTTAGATTGTTCTCTGAAACAAAATCACACGGGGACATCTGAGAAATATAAAAATTAAAAAATAAAATAAAATAAAATGTGACCATCTATATTAATCTTTGAGCAATCACTACAAAATGCCTAAATGATGGGCAACCATATATTTATTTATCAACAGTGTTTGTTGTGATTATTAATGTAAGTAACTAAAGTACTGGATAGGAATTTTCCCTTTTTCTCAATCTCTCAACCAACATTAACCCTAAGCATGTCTAAGGGTCTCAAAAACCTGCATCACGGCCATGAATTTGTCAACGATCATTTATAAAACAAAATACAAAACTTATCAGCTTGTTCCACAATTTATCTACTTTAACACCCAGAAGCCTACAGATTTTATTTGCAGCTCGGACCTACTGATTGGTGATTACATAATGGCTACACAAGTACAAAAATTATCTGACAAATGGAAGTTCAAGACAGTTTTAGGACTGAAAATTTCATAAATAAACGTCCGCAACTCATCCAAACTATAGTAAATTATAAACCATTTATAAACAGAAGTAACAGAGATCTCCAAGCCAGCAATTAATCAACCTTAGCATACAGAACATATCATAAAATATCGGGAGGCAAGAAAAAAATGGATGCTGACCAAGTTGGCTCTGATCTCTTGTTGCAACTTCTCCATATCAGATCTTAGCTGATTAACAACGCTTCCCTGAATAAAAATACAACAAGCATCAGGGGTCATACAAACTGGTGCATTGGGAAAAGAAAAAATTTAAGGAAAATATCTAAGCCTTCACATAATCATTAGCAAAGCAACCGTACATTAGCATGAAACTTAGAGATGAAAGTGTGACAACGAAATAACCTGATGGTTATAGTTATCTGTCAGGGTTGAATTTTCAGCAGCCAAGGACTCCGCTAAAGTTTGCGAGGTTTCAAGAGCTCGTTGCAGTGAAAATTTCTCTTGGGTTAAATCTTCAATATGCTGAAGAAAAAGACAGGCCAACAAAGAGAAAACATAAACAATTCAGACAAAAATCACCTTGATAACGCGCATAATCATCACATAGGATTAAATGTAGCCTCAAAATTACTCTTTTTTTTTCTTTAAATTCCTCGGATCCTTAATAGTTGGGGCAGGGAGAATTTCATCAAGAAAGACCCTTCAGTTATTCCTCTATCAGTGTTAGTTACCAATAGACAGAACACTAGGTACTACTTATAAATCATTGGGCAAGCTCCAAGTTCCACTTTTCAGAATGTAGGACTATCTTCCCAGAGAAATGGGGGATGTTGCTACATGAAATGATCACCTTACAGAACTAAAAATTCCCAAAGCTTAAAGAAAATGGAAGGGGAAAACAATTTCCTCCCAATTTGATGATGTCAAAAGCAACAGGATTATTTAAATGTAATTCAACGTCTCATTTAAAACAATTGAGTTGATATGACATTCAATTTATTTTCACACAAAGGACATACAAGGTTAACGAGATCTGTTCCCATAACACCAGAAATTGAATTCTACATCAGATATGTGAAACACAGAAACGAATAGACGTTCCAAATAATGTGTTTAGACTCAGAGCAGTTGTGTGTGTGTGTGTATATGTGTGTGCGTGAGAGAGGGAGAGAGGGGGAGAGAGAGAAAGAGAACATAAAGAAGAAGAAGAAGAAGAAGAAGAAGCTAGTCATGAAAATCAAAAGATACTCAAAGGATAATTCACATCTCCAACAAAGTTCCATTAGTAGAATTTAGAGTGACAGAGATCAGGCAATAAAAAGAAATAATTAATCAACCTGTTCTAATTCCTTGAAATCTTCATTTTGTTTGGTCTCCAAGTTTCGGTCGATAACTTGTTTGTACAGGTCAAGCCCATTTCCAGAAGCAACTGAAGAAGACTTCAAGTTCTGTGAAACTTGTGAACCTAATGTGTCCTCTGGGTGAACTTTGGAACCAAATAGGTCAACATTCAAAGGCCGAGATACTGGTGGTGAGGCTGAAGGACCTCTAGATATATTAATGGAATCAAGGAAAGAAGGACGAGACCTCCTGGCACCTGTTCCTGCGGAGGTTAAAGGGGCACTACCTTCATGAGACAAGGATGTATGGTTGCCATATTCATGGGGGAAACCAATGCCAGAATTCTCTGGAAAACCATTTGCAAGGGAAGAATGCGAACTACCAAAACTCGTCACTGAAAAATCTCTTTGTTGAGTATCTGAAATACTTGGAAAGTTTCCATATGATCCATTATTTCTATACTGCCACGAAGTGTAATCAACGCTCTCAGACGGCAACTGAAAAGAAATGGATTGATTTATAGAAACACCAGCAGAGACATTGTCCAAGTCTCTGTAAGTCTCCTTTTTGTGTGGAGGATCAAGTTCTATGTTTGATTGCTTCGCAAACTGAGAAACATCATCATCTCTAACCTCTTCACTAGATAACCGAGTCAATGATATTTCAGAGGTAGGACGTTCCGCAATTGCATCACTGAGAAAATTAGATCTGCTACCACTTAATATCTCAGGTTCCACACTAACTTTTCTGTTTTCCGTGTGAGATGGTTCTGCAATAGCTGCTTCAAATGCAGCCGATGTAGCAGTGGCATCAGAATTAACAGGCCGGACACGTTCAGAATCTGAAAGTTGCTTTTCATGCGATCCTGTGTTTGAGGCATGAACTGGACCATCAGATGCGATCTTTTTTGCTTTCTCTGCAGCTTTTTTCTTACGAAACTCTTCTAGCTGTTGGACAATACAAAAAGTCAGCCACAGTGAAAACAAAAGACACCACTTTGTGCCCAATTTGCCACCAACCAGAGCTCCCTCACGAATTATTTATCTTGCCAAGACAAATTTATTCAACAAAAACAAGCGACAACAATAATTAGAAAGATGGGCAAGCAACATCCCATTGCAAAAAAATAAAAGTTTTCACACCTAAGATTCAGATGTCTATAACTAGAAAATCTAATGCAAATATACTAGCTTTGTCACCCTCAAGCCCTGGCTGGGATAAGACATATCAAAAGACTCATTACATTTCTCTGCCCTAAAGCTGCAACAGATACCCAATCAATGAAAACTTTCATTATCCAACTTGCAATGACAAAAATGTTTCCCTTCAAACTGGCTGCCTTGACCAAGCACGCAGAGCAAGATATTAATCTACCAATGCCAGGTTCTCATTTTAACTGTGTCTCAATTGCAATCATCTATTAAACTTAAGACTGCATCTCCTAGAATAATTATGAGAAAGGAAGAAACACAAATTAACCCTGCACTAGAGTCGAAAGTTAGCAACACCAAAACTAAATTCTTGAATGGCCTACAGAAAAAGTAAATAAATAAATAAATCAGGGCGGGGGACAAAAGTGCATTGATCTCATCCAGGCAAAATTTTATGGGATTCATATAAGTGCGTGCTCAACTAAGATTCTAAAAACAGTCTCGGCTCCCGGATGGTTCTTTGCACCCAATCTTGTGCCTTTTGATAGTCCTTCAATGATGTAATGCTAATGATCAGTTAATTACCCAATGATTTCTCACATTTTCATTCAAGGGATTTGGACTTTTCAAAGGTGTAACACAAAAGGTCAGCATGAACAATCCAATACATATACCTCGTCCTATTTAGCGCCACAATCAAGTTCTTGACTACAAGATCAAATTCCAAAACAGAATAGCATGGTAGAGTTTTATTTTTAAGCATGAGATTTTCAAATAAAAATTGGATCCATACTAATCCTCAGATCTGAGTAGATGTCGAAAGTCTTATACTAAATGAAATGTAAACCCCAGACCACACAAAAGTGTTATATCTTGTCACTGAGGAGAAATGACTCGTGGAAGAGGTCAAATAGTAATTCCCACAGACATTAAATTACAAAATACACCGTAAACTCAATGTAAGTCTTCTTCAAGTTCATTAGATTATGATTCAGACAGAGACATCTGATAAGTAAAGAAACTACGCATGAGAATCAAACTACTTTCGAGCAATGCTAACATTAGAATGGTAATCCTATTAGCCATCTTATCAAAGAATAACTCAAATCAAACAATATAAACTTCAAAAAGATATGCAGACAGCAAGGAAGCCTATGGTATAAAGAGCTACCCAAACCATAATCTTCCTCAATTAAATCACCCTAAGCAAAAGAGCCAGTAGAACAACAAAATCCGTTACATATCCATGATCATGATGCCTGAACCACTAGCTAAACCAAAATTCCTATAGTCACAAAAAAAAAACAACATGCATAAAAAGAATCCGAACTTCACACAATCTCATACTTTAAATCAAATAAAAATACATGCATTGATTCCAAGCATAACTTTAATACCTTTTTTTTCCCAGCTTCCAAATGCCCTTGCTTTTTCAACACCTGCGCCGACGCCATCGGCCCAGCCAGCAAAATCCTATCTTTCCCCTTTTCCCCTCCTTGTTTTACATTCCCACCAAAAACCCTAAAAGAATCATCCCCAAAAAATTTCCCACCCAGATCAAATCAATTGGTATGTACAAATATATGGCCAATTCAATAAATTAAAAAATCAATGAAGAGCAAAATTGTTCATGCCCCCCAAAACTCGGTCGAATATCTAATCCCTAATAAGATTAAAAAAAAAAAAATTTGAAACGGGATTCCGGGAAAAGGAAACCAAAAAGGGCGAAATGTTTATGGGTCCGATCTGACCGGAGAGTTTTTCTGGCAGATCTATATGATTGATTATTCTCTCTCCATTCTTGTAAACCTTTTCTCTGTTACTACTTTTTAAATCCTTATTACTAGTTTATAAATTGGTATTCTAAATTGTTATATTATTATTACTACTTTGTAGTTAGGCAATTAATGGTCTATTTATTTCCTTTTTTCAATATGTATTTTTAAGTGTTTTTTATATTTGAAATGTAAAAAAATATATAAAAATATAAAAAAATACACTGTGATGGAACAATTATTAATATTAAAATCTAAAAAAATAAAAATATAAAAAACAAACAAAGCCTAAATTTGCTGATTTAGGAGGTTGCTAGAGTTACTGGGTTGGTGATGGTAAACAGGTAAAGCGTTCCAGTGACGTAATAGAAGTGATTAAGGGGTAGACACGTGCAACATTGATGGCACCCGGTGAAGTTCAAAAAACGCCTAAAATGGTTTTAAAAAAAAAAACAAAACAAAAGCCTAAAAATAGAATGAATGTCTACTTTCATATATATATATATATATATATATATTTTTTTTTTTTTTTGTGGTAATAAGATGGGGAGTTCAACCACCGGATTACAGTGTTCCGGGAGCTACTCCTATTACATCTTTTGTTTCTTTTTCAACATAGAGAGTAGTGATTATAAGAGTATACTTCCTCCCATCTTTATTGTAAGGTATTTTGATTTGTCCTAAGTTTCACCTGATATATTTTTTCGATTAAGAAAAAAACCTTAAACTCACATTTTCACATTCATTGCCTTCTCCTAACTTTAAGAAATATTTTTAAGACTTTTTTTTTCAATTGGAAAAATATATCAGGTAAACTCATGATAAATCAAAATATCTTATAATAAGAATCGGAGGGACTACATTACAAAGTGTGTAATCCATGTAATTCAATCTTCAAACCTACTTATACAATTGTAAAATTAGATTTATGATAGATATGTTTTAATAATTTCATCGTCCAATCTCCCTGCATTATGATATACTTTCTATATATTTTTCCAAAGTAATTATTGTAATATACGAGATAAAATCAAGAACCTCAAATTATAGTTTGTTGACAAAGACTATTCAAATTTTAGAATGAAATTGGTCATCTTTCTCAGATTTGACTGCTTTATTTCAACATAATTGTCTGTTGTACAACAAAAAATTTAGGAAAAAAAATCATAAGGATCTGCTCATTTTAACTCAAGTTTTAAAGTTGATAGATCCCAATCCGTCAAATTATTCACCAAGACATTTACTATACTCTCCATAGAAGAACCTTTGATGATACAAAATTTTCACAGATCCCGATATTATTCAATCACCTTGATCATCCTAAGACATCTATTCACCAAATCAAGAAAAGAGCTTACCAACATATATGAACGGAAATTGGTCATTTGATCAGATAACGATCTAAAGGGATATTCTAAGTACAAAAAATGCGAGTCTAGTAGCTATTGGCATTGCTATTGCCGTTTGTCTGAAGTAACAAAATCTCAAATGTCCATTCCTAATTAATCCATTGTAAACAAAGGAAACCATTAACATTCAAGAAAACTGCGAAGTTGAGCATTATACTACAGTTTAATGGTGACACTGGCAAGATTTCATCTATAAATCTCTCATAGGTCAAAACAAAATCTCAAAACTGCAAATTCTTCAGTCAAACCGTAATCATTATCGTAAGAAGTCAAGGAAAAGATATCCCTGTCAATAAAAGATGTCCTTTGTCACCTTTTCATATGGAATGAGTTTTCAATGTATATATTAGAAGTTGAAGTAAGCTTAAAGAATGTCCACCTAAATTTACTATGACAATGTTGTTGTCTTGTATGGAAGAATCATATTCAATCTGCATAAGGAGTAGCAACCATAGACATATGAGCCAATAGGTTCAACTTGTACGAATTTCTAGATAGTGAGATTATACAACACTATTATTAGCTTCAAAAGATCAACGAGACGAAGCAAACCATCACATATGCAATAAATATCTTGTTGAGAATCACTATTTTTGGCTGAGATTATAGGAGTGAACTCAAGAGTTTTAACTGGTGATTTATTATCATTAACTTTATTGGCTAAAAAATATTTATCTACTGTGTAACACTGAAGAGAATCAGCGGTCCAGTAACCACATCAGGAAACTCATGCACCAAGATTTCCTCATTGTCACTGCTTTTCTTTAATATGTTATTATTGGAATGGTCAAGTTGCAATCTTATAAATTGAGGGGTTTTAATGGTTTCCCTCCATATTTTACACATGCACTTAAATCGAATTAAGGGATTTCGCAGGTAGTTTTTTCGAGAATCTCAATCAGAACATCATGGGGCAATTGAGGCTTTTCAGCCAAGTCTAAGATATGATTGGAAAATGGGCAATTGGTCTTTCAGCCAAAAGTCAGTCCCTGAAAAACCAACACCGTTTTTTTATACTAGTCATGAACATGATTATAGTTAATGGGATTTTGGTAATCAACAGATTTTTTAGATAAAGGAGGAAACTACCCCACAAGCAAAATGGAAATCCATTACCAGCAGGGATTTTGCCCCATATTCACAGTCATGTTAATTTTTATCAATAATAATCAATACTTTATAATGTAAACTATTTTTTAGGACCATTAAAAGAGCATTATTATTGTATAAGTTCTAATTGGGAGAGTCTAGCTAGTTGTACAGGCTAGTTGTAAAGATTGTTTTTTTTTTTTTTTGCAAGTGTCGACTATTATCGCCTGACTAGTTGGAAGCTCACAAAAGATCACCTAACTCACATGAATATACAACATGAAGGCTCTGAATATGTGCTTTGTATGCAATATGATGAAAACCATCAACGTCTTTTCTTTTATTGTCCTTTTACAATTGAACTAATACTTAAAGTTAAAATTGGTTGTGAGTTACAGACATGTCAATGGAGTGGGAAAGACAAGATTGACAAATATTTAGAAATCTACAAAAATTGAAAAAGAACATATTGTAAATTGTGGTAATAACTACTATCTACTATCTATGAGAGGAAAAAAATAGATATATCTTTGTTATAACCAGCATAAACGTTCATGATAGTTGGAAGTGAAAAGGAGAGTCATGGGATGCACTAGAAGGAATATTAGTACTACAAAATAGAGAATTTAAGATAAGTTTTTTTCTTTCTAATTTTGATGTATGGTCTTTTGGTTTTAAATGCACACTCAAATTTATTTATAAAATGTTTATTTTTTTACCCTCAAAAGAAGAGACATGATATCTAATCTATTCACTATAATTTCCACCATTGTCATATTTTTAGTCAAATCGGTAGCCAAATAATTAGTTTCTTTACAAATTTGATCCTTTAGAGAAGTCCAATCAATTCTAACCTAATAGCTCTTCAATTTTCTTATTAATCTATTACCATTTTATGGGAAAAGATTTTTCTTGTCCATTTGAATTGATTGGTTGATGATTTTGCCAAAATAGAAAATAAAGTCTAAAGCAATTTTTAATTCCATTACCAGAAATGTCCAAATTAATCTAACTACCAAGTTTTACACTCTCCTTAATAGATTGACGCTAATCCAATAATTCTTTTTGATCTTCCATTATCTCTTCATTTTAAACTCTTCTTCTTCTCTTTTCTTATGTATGCTCTTTATAGTGATGCTCATTTCTTAAGTCTTTTTCTTTTATTTAAATTTGTACTCATTGTCCAAACTTGTTGATTAATCAATACGGAAGCATGTCTAATTTGCTTGGATAATGTCAAGTAAATTGTGTTTCAATCTTTTGTACACATGCAATAAATTGGAGACGTTTTTTGCTCTTTTTCAAAAAAAAAGAGTAAAAAAATTATTAAAATTCAAAACAACAGTCGTGTCAAGTTTTGAAAGAGATTAGTTCTCTAGTGTAGACTGAGTTGGGAAGGAGTTTAAGATTTTGAAAGAGTTATTTTAGAAGTAAAACAGTGTTCTTCTGGCTCATCCATTCCTCCATTTCCTTAATTTTTTGGGCTAAATAATAACTATTATCCTCACCACTTTCTATATCTTTTCTTATTTACTTTTGATTTCTTCCTTCTCAGATCCAAGTTCTTTTTCTTAAACTTTTTCTCTCATTCTCATGGTCCTAATGGTTAATTCTTCTCTTCTCTTCTCTTCTCTCCTAGGTATTGTTTCATTTTCTTGTTATCGTTTTATTTTCTTCTTTTTCTTCTTCTTTTTTTTTGTGTTTGAAGTTAGTTCCAATCTTATATTTTAAAAAAGTGGAATTTTAGGACAAATTGAGCATTTTTTTATCAATTGAAAAATCTTGCCAAACACGTCAGATTGATAGGATGTAAAAAAAAAAGTTATTTTAAAGTAGTAATTTTCTAAATCTCAAGAATCAACTATTTGGATTTGGAAATAAGATCTACTAAGGTGACATAATATATAAGATATAATCCAAATTAACCATCATCAACTATTTGAATTGAAAAATTATATTTTCTCTAACAAATTAACGTATCTTCAAATATCCACAAGATGAATAGAATTTTGTATTTTTGGGGTTAATTATTTTTAGTTCAAAACTAATATACATCCCACGCATTGCATGGGATAAGAACTAGTAGTATCTAATTGTATGGACTCCCTAGTTATGCATTTTGATTAACTATTCTAATAGTATGTTAAACTCAAGATTAATCAATCCACTTTTCATTAGATGTATATGCATTCAGTTTTAAATTCATTGTCTTGAGATTTCTATCCTATCTATTCTGAGATTACTATCATTAGGTATTGTATGGAGAAAAAAAATCATTTTTTAACATACTTATTATTAGCTAACAACATTTAAATATAAGGGATAAGTATGTGTATAGAACATATCGAGTTTTTCGTCACTGTTGTTCTCTTACATCTATTGTAATAACAAAATACATGATTTATGATGATTTATAATTATGATATCATTTCAAATATTTGGTTTCTTGTCAAAAGACGACGACAATTTGTTTTGTAACAAAGGATGGCGAAGAGGAGTATATCATATTAGTTTCTGACTCTCGTGCTACACTGGGATGATGAGATGTGAGTTGTTTATGTATACAAAATTGTATGATGTGAGCATACCATTTTATAAAATGTTATATTTTTTGTATTAATGTTCCTTATAAATTTTAGTTCCAAAACCCCCGACAAAAATTTTCAAGTTCAATTCTTCATGGTCTATTTGTGGGAGCGGAAATGTGTTTATGATCGATTCTACTTTTGAATCCGTAGAATAGATGGTAATTATTGTCTGTTTTTCTTTTCATATACATTCAACTTTACATATTAATATTAATTTATCTGTAAAATATTTAATGGTAATTCTTGTCACTTTTCTTTAATTTATATGCAAATTGTTAAGCCATAAAGATTTTATTTTTTTTTACATCATGTAAATTCTGCCATCGTTATTATTGTTACATAATAAGTTGTGTAAATAATTTTGGGATTTTAGTTTCTTATCAAAAAGATATTGCAATTAGCTAAACGTTTCAGAAAAACTTTTACTTTATTTTATTGTTTCTTTAGAAAAATAAAAAATTTGATTAGCCTGAATTAGTTTAATACAATTACCATTCAAGATGAGAATATGAGTTAGTATTGTTAAATAATTTGAGTGATCAAGAAATTAATGGTACTCCTACTGTTTCAAAAATAAAAATTACATAGTTTTACATTGTTAGTTTGATTATTCGAACACTTCGTTGAAATCATGCAAGTTATTTCAAATTACTTTTCTTGCTAGATCGAGAAAAATATGCCATCCTTGAAAAAAAAGTGATCCTAAATCAGTAACTTGTACATTAGAAACGCTGGTGTATCTCAATGAATAAAAAAATATCTAGAACGCACAATTCGTTATTGCCGAATGACACCTGAAAGAAATACGTGTTAGGAATATTTCTTCTTTCCTAAAAAAATTGAAATATCAATCCATAGTAGAATGAAAACCTTACAAATAAGATAATAAGAATAATAAAGAAAAAGAAATTCTAATGAAGATGAATTGAAGTACCAACAATCGGAGAATCACCACAGAAGATAGATGTGGTTTATTCATATAAGATATTGTCCTTAAGACAGTGCCCTCACTATATTACCAACTATATATGATTGACGATTTGTCTCTACAACACTAAAAACATACAAGACACAATTTTGTAATCATTGAATCTTCTCTAAAAATTTAGTAGTGCAAAAAGTTAATTAAAATAGGCAATGGATTACCTATTTATAGAAAATACTTGCATAACTATTGAGAACTAAAAGAAGGTGAATTAAGATACGAAAACCTTGAGTGTTAATCCAATAATTACAATTTTTGTGAAAAGTTGCACACTTTTAGCATAATCAGTTGCAATCCTCTTAACCAAACTCTCATCCTTAAAATTTAGAATGTTTATTTTATATCATAAACTAAATCTTCAACATTCCCCCCTCCCCACACTTAGTTTGTGATGTCAAACAATCACAAAATTACAAGAATCACGCATAAGATGTGGTAATTTTCGTTTTAAACCCAATTATAATGAAACTAAATCACCTAATTAGCTAAGTTATTGGTTGTTTGGTTCTTAAATTAATATTCAAACTAATATAGACTTAAAATTACATATGTGAATACTTATAGCATTCTTTATAATTTACATTATCATTTAGCACTAACACCGGTATGTTTATTGTTAATCAGATAAGCGTATATATTATCATAACATGTCTACTCTTTATTACCTTTTGTATACATAGACAAGCGTCAGAAATATGTCAAAGTGATTGGTACCCAAAACCCTTATAAGGTGCTAAGAAACTCAACAAATTTTGCGATATTTCTTTTATTGTAATATATGTATTTCCGATAATAGCCTTGTGTATAGAGTTCTGTTAGGTTGTTCTTGCTTAATTTTGTATAACCGGAATATTGTTATGTGGTGTATATGATTTAATGTTCCTCAAACATTCTATTAATTTGTACAACTCTAATAAAAAAATTTTACATCCTAAGTTGATATCAATTTATTTTTTTGCATTCAATCAATTCTTCTTGATAAAAAAATGAAATCATATTAAGCATTACTGTTAACAATTCAACATAGAAACTCGTGGCCCAAAATCCAAACAAACCCATAACTTTTACATAGTCTTTTAAATTTTGTAGTCCGAACATTACTGTAATCCTTTGATAGGCCCATTAGGTTTTTGTGAACCTCTTCGGTTCCATTATATAAACAACTAAATCTTTTTCCCAGCCTCTTACTCGGCCTTCTTACTTTTTCTCAGAAATACTTGTTTTTGCTCTCTGGTTTCTCTAGTTTTTAGAAAATTGAAAACACATGGATGAAAAGAGAAAACTTCAAGTTCGGAGATCTGTTTCTGATATCAAGATAGTTAAGAGATCTTCATCAAGAGCTAAGGTCGAGAGATTTGAGAAGCCTAGTTTGGGAAACACCCCCATCGTTGTCGATGTCCCTCATGGGACAACGATTGAAGTTGTCATCTTTAGGGATACAAATTGGGTGGGTTCAATGTAATTTCTGACCGATTCAAGAGAATCAGGACGTATGTTTTGACAATGTGCATCGTTATGGAGATCATTATTCTATTCTTGGTAAGGAAGACATTCAGAAGATGAGGACAATTGACTATGTTTGTCCAATATTGGCTGCAGGATGTGGGTATGACCCACATTGTGATACTGGCACACATTGTCTTAGGGAAAATGCCAGTCTTTTCTCGTGTCCTCTTGATGCTGCTCTATTTATAAGTGATATTTTTTTTTGAAATAAATAAGGAGTAGAAGAATGATTCAGACAAAACTTATGATATGTGGCCTACATGCTTGCAAAGAACCCGAATCTATTATTGTAAGCGGTGACGATAGCTATGGAAGGGTAAAAAAATATTGGGCAATCGACAGTGGTAGCGCAGTTTCTATGGAGATCTGGAAAAAGGCTTATTCATTAAATGGAGTGATACACAAGAGTATTGCCTATGCAAATGCCTATAACGCTATCTGTTACGCTGCTTCTCTGGACGGGGCGACTGGTGGCCGTATTTTAAGTAGGTATGTGGATAGATATCAGGTTCAGTAGAATCCATTTGGAAAGGAACCCCCATTGGTCAGCTAAACTACCTTGTGTACAGCCGTTTCCCCTCATTTGTCTTCCGACACCCGATAGGATGTGGTTTTGAATATTTTCTCCAAGCCCCCTCCTCGTAAGGTTCTGCTTGAGTTGGCTAGAAATAGAAACAAGATCTCTTTCAACTAGAATTCCACTCCCTCCGGAACTGGATACCTTGATTAGTCCCAACTACCAATTTGCTCTCAAAAAGACTCAAACTAAGCAATGATCTTAGAAAGTTTTTTATAAGCCTTATTTACTAATTATGATATCATATATTTGAAAATAGGAAATGATTTTGAGTTAAAGTTTCAATTTTTGCTTAAACTTCTGATGTTGCATTAAAAAAAAAGAGTATCGTTATTGACTATATATACTGTATATATTGTACATGAGAATATACTGAATGCAATCCCTATTATTCTAACTTTTTTTGGCGACTTTGGCTATGTATTATTACTTCGAATGATAACATCTTCATGCTCTGATCAGATCCTGAAATGTATACACATTAAGTACGAAGTTTGCCATGATTATAAGACATGAAGGAAGATCTTCAAAAGTATACATGAATGAGATAATGATTGTAACAACGTTGTAAATTTGAAACTATATGGTGACATAATTATACAATATATTGCTCTAAAAGTACTAAAAAATTGATTGTAATTTCCGATGTTACTATGTGTCACTACAAACTTAAATAGTATTTCTATTCATTCTTTTGTTAGGAATTTTTGAAAAATCAATGGTTTACATTTTTTGCACATGAGATGTACGTGAATTGACCGAAGGACATTATGTCTCCATATAAAGAATTTGATTCGAGTCTTCCTTATCATGTGACTTGCATTTGATTTTACAAATATTAGAACTGTTGATCTATGCAATCTATTGTAATTTGAAACTAGTTTTAGTTACTCGTTTGGATATGATGGTTATATATTGTCCATTTTAGAGCAACAAGATTCCATTTTCACATGGACTCGGCTAAACATGAAGAACACTAGGCAAGAATCTTCTTTCCTTCTCGGTTCGATGTACGTAACTTTTAAAGAAAAAAAAAACAAAAAACTTGTTATAGATGAAATTACTAAAGAGAAGGAAGATGAAACCTGAGAGAAGTATGATAAAACTAGACAAGAAACGTCGGACGAGGAGGAGAACGGACAACAAAAACAACAACAGGAGTCGGGATGAAGAAAATAAGCTAGAAAAATATCAAAAAGAGGAGGAGAAACACCAACACCCTTCGGGCTGGGGTGATCCATACAACATCCTCGTGGTCTTTGACGATGCAAACATGTTTTGCACTATGATGTAGGTATGAGAATTTGAATAGAGATGAGCATATCTTATAAAATTGGTGATCATTTGTTTTGTGTATTTTTTTAGAAATATTTGAAGGCGAATCTTATAATCACATTATAAGATGTTGTAATCTTGTACTAGTTATCTAACATCTTTGTTAATTCTATTTGCCTTAGATTTCAACTTGCCTAGTGCTTTTCCATTTATTTGGAAAAGCATACATATATAGTTCATAAAATGTTGCCTTTTCCGAAGATAAAGGAAAGACCACTTATCAAGATACCATTTACCCAATAAAGAGACTGGTAGTTGTTTCACCACTTCACAAAATTTGACAAAAGTCAATCCCTGAAAACACACCCCCTGTATATTTATTTATCTGTAGTTGTCAGAATCAGGATTAGAATTTATTGGATTTTGGTAATCAACAAGAATTTTTAGATAAGGAAACTACCCCAATACCAAATTAGAAATCCATAACCAACGGGGATTTTGCCGCCTATTTCAATCAGATGCTAATTTCAATTAGGTAATTTCCCCCTTTGAACCAGAGAAGGACAAGGAAATCATCAATATGTATCATTTGAGAAATTATCCAACTTAAGCATTAGACAGATTCATTCTTTTAGTGAGTTTGACATAACAGAAATTCGCCATCAGTGACATCGTCTTGTTTCGTTTACTTTTTCTTGGCAAACATCTTTTAGTCTTAATATGCGACATCTTTTTTGTTTTGGCTTTTGGCTTGTTCATAAGTTTTTCATTGTCTTGCTTTCTCTATTTCTACTCTATTTTCTTAATTTTCTTTATATATTGTGAAGTGGTGATATCAAGTCAACACTTGAAGTTTGTATTATGTAATGTTTTATTTAACTTGTTCATCTTTAAGCTTTATTCTTTTCTTTTTGGTACAAACCATATTTAAGTTTTTTGTTTCAGATTTGCAACCTTCTTGCCATGAGACAAAAACTATAGCACTCGGGCATAGTATGGGGGCAATAAAATTTATAAACCTCCATTTTTCTTCATTAAACCAAAAATAATATCATGGCTAATGCTGATTTCCAATAATTTGTAGCCCAGAAAATAAGCTGAAGACCAAATATTATCATGCATGATGCATCCTCCTACTGTCCTGTTAAAAAATGGAGGATCAGCTGAGAATGTATTGATAGTGAAGCGTGTTATCGACATGGAATATTTTTTTTGGAACGGAGGGAATATTATTATTGCGTAAAATTCTTCTCGGGAGTGTCTAGTTGATGTTTCGTAGCTACAGGGATGGACAAGTAGTATATGATCAACAAAATCAAGTATGTATTTTAAAATAAAAATAAAAAATTAGGTATTACAAATTTATTGGTATGTAGTGTTGTTTGATGATAAGAGTTGCTTTCTGTTTGCTCCTGTGATAAATTTCATATACAATATTGCATGAATTATTGCAATTGTTTTTTTTTTTTTTTTTTGGCTTCTACTAGTTTAACCTTTTTATCTATCACTTGTGTCCTTTGGATGAGAAACATATGCAACAACATGTGGTCTTTGGAAAGTTAATTATTTTGGTTCGACCATCGGTCTATTTGATTTTCTCCAAAGAATAGTGTTTGGGAATAAATTTTTCTCATGACATTATGTACAGATAATTTTGTTACAACTAGCCTGTAGAAAGAATAAAGTTGTTGTTAGGTTTTGATAGTTACCACCAAGTTATTGTAATCTCTTCCTCTAAAACTTTCTTTCACAATAGCCTAGTTACTATAATAAGGTTTAGTGTTTTTATTTTTCTTATGAAATCATGTATAAATAAGTTTGGTACAACTAGCTAGAATACAGGAGTACGACACCTATTGTTTAACACACACACACAAGGGGTTTAAGGATTGTTGTTGCTAGTTTTCACATACCATAGAATTCAAACTCGTAATCTCTTAATAGGATTTGGAATGTCATAATCGTTTAGGACATTGATCTTTTCCCTTATGATTTTCTTGAGAAATCTTTGTGGAGTTGGTGATGTACAAGGAGAATGTGGTCTGGATTCCACACCATAGTAGTTAGTATCGCATGATACGCGATATGTATCGTACGATACGTATCCAAATCAATGATTTGATACATATCATGGTATGTATCGTAATTGTTTGTGTATCGGTCAATTGATGATACGTATAGTACGATACATGATACTTTTGTGTATCGTACGATACAAAAATATAGGCAAAAAATAATTTTTTTTCTCAAAAATATTCAAGGTCGAATCTCATTAGAAATTATTTTTAAATAGATATATTTTTATTTATTTATTTCCTTCAACAAATATAATATTTCTCAATTGAATATAAAAATCAGTTAATAGATTATTTTAATTCAAAATATAAAATGATTTAAATATTATTTTATTAATAGTGTCAATTTTTTAAATCAAGTATATATGTAATAATAGTTATTATGTAAAATAATATTTATTACATTGGTTTTTATGATCATTATTCATGTAATGAAAAAGTAATTTATGTAGCTTTCAATTAATCTTGAAGTCAACTTGATAAATTATCTATTTACAATTGAAAAATAAATAATGGGTATTAAGATACCAATCATATATGATATTTATGATATTTATTATTTATTTTATATATTATTATATTAAAACGTATATTACGATACGATACACGATGTGATACACGCATCATGACGTATCACGATTCGATAACTATGCTGAACATATTCAAAACTAATAGAGGGGGTGCAAGATTTCATGGCTTGAGTTCGCAAGTTTTTTTAAACACATGTAAAAACAAGCTGCATACAACTTCTTTTGAGATTGATATGTATTTATTCGTGGGTTAAGCATAATATTGTTGGAGTATCAAATATTCCACTAATGTGATTACTCTAACTTTATGAGTTTCTTTTGATCCTTTTGTAATAATTGCATGCCCAAGCATTGCTCGGGTAAATATAACTTTTAATAATACCATGATGAAAATTGTTTAAACAAAGTTATATGAATCAAAAATAAAATAGTAAGCATTTAATAATGAATACTATAAGACATTAATTAGTTTTCATGTTCATAATACCATCGTGACAATTTTTTAAACAAAGTTATTTGACTAAAAAATGAAATAGTAAACATTTGAATGATAACTATGAGATAGGGGTGTGTATGGTCCGAGTGATCTAATTTTTAGCCTAAACCATGAAAAACCGTTAGAACGGTTTGAGACATTTTGAATCCGAAACCAAACTGATCTACATTTACAAACCGGACCAAACCAATCCATAACCGACAGTCTAATTTCTATGGTTTCACGATTTCGGCTTCACTTTAAGTTTTTTTTTGGGTCAAAACTTGAGCCATTTTTTTTCTTATTTGCAACAAAAATAATATAGCCTTTTACTACTAATTAAAACTCAACACCACGCAAATCTCTAATTAAAACTAATAACATCCAAAATGTTAATCAAAAAGAGGGAAGAGAAAATGAAACTTTTGATTACTCATGCACCTTTAAAAGTATATAACAATTGGGAATTGAATGAAGACTAGTGCTTAGAATGTTGTGCTTCCTGGTATTAGACTTGGGTTCAATTTCCATCAAGGGGTATGTAAAAGGGGGAGACCGAGGGAAGAGATTTGCTCACATTTAAGTGGAGTCCACTGGAATGGATTTTTGTTTTTTAAAAAAGTATATGATAATTATATATATATATATATATATAAACGGTCTGGTTCGCTTCTAAATTTTGCAAGTTATGGACAAATATTTTTTTTGCGCCTAGGATCTTCAAATACGCATCTATGGTTAGTTTCTTTACCAATCTTAATTAATGATTTCAATGCTTGATTAATGATACAAATTTATGGATCTTTTCTTTTCTCCTGTGAATAAAAAGCGCATAAAAACTACTTTTGGTATAACCGTATGCAATCTAGTATTTTTAAATTGTAGATCAATTTCCTAAAATTCAAAATGTTTTTTTTTTAAATTTTCATTACATTCAATTTTGTACATAATTTAGCTCACTCTTCTATTTATTAGAGATTTAATAAAAAGATAAAAACATGGGAAAAACTCCAGTTAAGGCGGGAAACCCTATTCTTCTTCTCCGCGACTTCTGATACTCTCACCGATCTTTCTGGCTCCAAGCTTCCAAAGGTGAATCATTAAACTCCCAGAGTTAAACCCTTTTGAATTTTCTGTTTTCTAGAACTTCTCGGTGTAACATCGTAATAAAGTTCAGTTCTTGGAACATTGCGATTCCTAATAGTCGTAGAATGGACGGACATTGCGATTCTTATTGATTATATTCCAGATGACAATGCCGTCAGTTAGTGCTCCTGATCCCACCTCCCAGAGAGCCAAGGTGATGGGTATTACTTTTGCTAAGCAGTATCACCGACTGCTTTCCCAACAGCCTCAGCTAGTGCACAAATTTTACCAAGGTTCAAGCTTCTTGACACACCCTGATTCTGACGGCACAATGACTACCGTAACCACCTTGCTAGTACGAGTTTCAATCATTTTCATTTTATTTCTAAATAACTGCCGCTTATTTAGTACTACTTGGATATTTGTATCTTCATTTTGCAACTTTTGGGCTTCTTGTTGCAACTTGTTTTTTACTCATTCATGTGTGCTATTCAACAGTCAATCTTGTATATGGAGTCAACTTTCAACATATATTTTAAATTTAAGTGTATACTGTCCTTTTTTGTTAATAAACGCTAACCAATCAATCAGGCAAAATTCTTACCATCGTTGTAATTTTATCAAACTTACACCTCTTCAACTTGATCAGGAAATCAACAATAAGATTATATCATTTGGTTACGAGAACTACACGATAGAGATTGAAACTGTAAACATTCAAGATTCTTACCAGGCCAGCATATTTATTCAAGTTACAGGATGTTTAACTGGAACAGACAATGTGCCTCGAAAATTCATGCGGTCATTTTTCTTAACTCCACATGAAACTGGATATTTCGTTCAAAATAGCTGTTTTAGGTGTATTGAGGAGACCAAACCATCTGAGACCAGTTTGGCATTGGCAAATGTTGCTGCTGGTGTTGTTCCTGTAACCGTGCCTTTGACATTGGATCCAGATTAATTTAGTATTTCTGGTCCTACATTTGTATGATGTTGAAACAATGTTACTTGCTGTTGAATATAATTCTAGGTTTGTTGGTCTTCACTTTCAGAATCTGGTCTTGCCCCGGATCATTCTGCACGTGACTCAGTAACTGTTCCAGAAGCAAATTAAACTCAAAGTGGTCCAGAGGTCTCCAATTTTTTCTGAAAATATAGATGGTCCCGGATTGTATCTTGTGTGTTATCTTAGAGAGCAGTCATTGACACTTGTTGGGCATGCTTTTGTTTTTTCTCACTGCTTATGGTTTCGCTTTTTATTTTTTAAATATTTTTTTAATCTACTATTTTCCCTTGTAACATGGTTCAGTATTGTTGCTTATCCTTTGAAAATTTATGTCGGTCAAGGTCAAGTCAGCTTCTCGTGCTCCTTTGGCATGTGGCATTCCTATAGCAGTAAAAGTGTAGAAGCTATTAATGCCAATGAACACTCTAGTAAGGCTCCTGCAGTTGCAAGTAGTCCTGAAAGTATCTATGCCCATAAAGAAGGTATTTTCTACTTCGGCATTTAGGGATGTTAGATGTTTGTTATGCATTTAACTCTATGAGAGTCATAAGATGTGAGAAAATTCTTACAAACCTGAATCACCATTCAATCATCTTTCAATCGATCAGTTAGAGAAGAATTTCGTATCTGATCAAGTAGCTAAAATAAGACCAAGATTTTAGGGTTTATACGTAGAAGAGCTTTTTGGAATCTTTTGGTGTGTATATATCTTTATATCTGCTTTACAAGTATGATCCCTTATATATACCCAGCGACTAATCTAAGTCGGTTAATCATATATAGCTGTAATTACAGATTCTAAACTAACACAACTATATCTAATGATCAGTAATTTACAATATGCACATGCTAAATTTATTCTCATCTGTCGGATTAATTACTGTCTCATGGATTGATGAGCTGGATACGGTTGTTTCTAGTAACAACCCTGCCAAGGTTGATTGCAGTGATCAGCGTTGAACATCAGCTTACACTGCACGCATTGCTTTCCATCAGAGGAAGCTTCCAAAAGTGGTCCTCCTGTTGTCATTTGAGATCCCATGCATGCAGGTTAAGTGCTGCAATGCTGCACTTGAGCTGATGTGGAATTCTTGTCCATATATTGTAACATCCCGCTAAAAGATGAGCAGGATTAAAGCTCATCTTGGACAACATAGATTGAAAACCAGGAGCTCCAAGAGGTTTGGTGAAGATGTCAGCCAGCTGGGAAGAAGTGGAAATGTGCGGAGGAAGAATGAAACCTTCTTTGTACTTGTCTCGAACGACATGACAGTCGATTTCAAGATGTTTGGTCCTCTCATGGAAGACCGGATTGGCGGTGATGTAGAGGGCAGCTTGATTGTCGCACCAAAAGGGTATAGGCAAGGCAATAGGGATATGAAAATCTTTCAGGAAAGATGCAGTACCCTGTAATTGAATGTCTGGAAGTTTTACAGCTGCTATAGTCAGCATCATTATAAGAAGTGAGCTGAAAGGTGGAATCCTTGGCATAGAACAGGCCAGTAGAAATGCAACCACTCAGATAGCTGAGCACATGATGTGCTGCTGACCAGTGAGATTCATGAGGAGAATGCACGAACTGACTCAGTTGTTGCACTGAATAAGTCAGATCAGGGCGACTAAAATTTAGGTACAATAGTCTTCCAACAATCCTTCTGTATGGTCCAGGATCAGGAAGCAGTGGTGTTTCATCCTTGTATTCTGAAGGAAAACGAAGATCTCGAGGAAGAGGAGTTGCAGTAGGAATGCAATCCAACATATTTGCATCTCTCAGGAGATCAGTAATGTATTTTTGTTGTTGAATATAAAGACCATCAACTGTATGATTAAGGTCCATGCCAAGAAAGTATTTTGCTTCACCTAAGTCTTTGATGGTGAAAGTCTGATCTAAAAAGCCCTTCACCCTATGCATTTCTTCAACATTATTCCCTGTAAGCAGAATGTCATCGACAAACACCAGTAACATCAACTGACAATCATCTTTCTGATACAGAAATAAACAGTTATCATTATAGGACTGTGAGAATCCATAAGCTTGAAGTTATGTGGTAAACTCTTGATTCCACTGTCTGGAAGCCTGTTTAAGGCCACATAAAGACTTCTTCAACGTGGAAACTTGATGAGGTTTAGCCTTGTGATATCCCTGAGGTGGTAACATATATACATCCTCATCTAAGAATCCTTGCAAAAACACATGATTCGCATCCATCTGAAAGATAGGCCAGGATTTGGAAGCAGATATAGCTAAGAGAAGTCTGACAGTAACTGACTTTGCAACAGGAGAAAATACCTCAAAGAAATCTTCTTCTTCTACCTGGGTATAACCTTTGGCTACCAGCCTAGCTTTATATTTTTCAATGGTACCATATGGATTACACTTGATTTTATACACCCATTTGGAAATAATAGCCTTCTTTCCATCTGGAAGATCTGTTAATTCCCATGTACCATTACTTTCCAACGCCTGTAGTTCCAGTTCCATTGCTGTAACCCATCTATGATCTGTTCTTGCTTGATTGTATGTGCTAGGTTCTTGAGTACTAGATAGATTAGCTAGAAAAGATTGATGAGAAGAAGGTTGATCAACTGTGTGATGTTTAGCAGAAGTGGTATTGGGATGTGTGGTTATGTAATCATCTAACCAGGAAGGTGGCTTTGTATTCCTGGAGCTTCTTCTAGGAGCTAAGGTTGGTTGAGCAATTGTTGTATGATTAGATGGATCAGAGGAATGTGATGAGGTATGAGGATCAGGTGGAGTAGAAGAAGAAGAAGAACTAGTATGTGTGAAATCAGACTGGACTTCAGTATTTGATAAGAGGGGATTAAAAGATTGATCATCTGTACTTAGAATTTTAATAAGAGGCATAATGAATTGAGTATCTAAGATAGAGGTAGAAGGAAAGATGTCCTCAAAGAAAAGGACATCCCTGGATACAATGGTTTTCTTTAAAGCATGACAATAGATTTTGTATCCCTTTTGAAAAGGAGGATAACCAACAAAGATACCCTTGTAAGACTGTGGATCAAGTTTATCTCTGTGCAGATTGGTGTTGACAACAAATGCCAAGCATCCAAAAACTCTAAAATGACTTAAAACAGGTTGCTTACAATACAATATCTCATAAGGTGACTTCCAAGAAAGTATTTCAGTAGGTAACCTATTGATCAAATATGTGGCAGTGAGTATAGAATTCCCCCAGAAATGTTTAGGAAGTTTAGATTGAAGCAATAAAGATCTAGCAACCTGCAAAAGATGTCTATGTTTCCTTTCTACAACTCCATTTTGTTGTGGAGTGTAGGGACAGCTTGTTTGATGAATAATACCAAGTTTGGAAATGAAAGAGGCAAAAGTATCATTAAGAAATTCTGAACCATTGACACTTCTTATAATCTTGACAACAACATCAAACTGAGTAGAAACTTGATTGACAAAGTGCTGTATTAAACCAGGCACTTCTGTTTTATGTTTGAAAAGAAATATCCAAGTACATCAACTGTGATCATCAACTATGGTCAGAAAGTAATGATAACCAGAAGAGTAGATTGTTTATATGGCTCCCATACATCTATGTGAATCAAGTCAAAACACTTGTCACTTTGAATACTGCTGTGAGAAAAAGGAATTCTAGTCTGTTTGGCTAAGGGAAATATCTCACACTTTCTTACCAAACTAACATCCTTATTACAAACAAAGATGGTTCATTACACCTTCGATGGATGACCTAATCTAGAGTGTAAAACATTATATGAAACAATGAGTAGACTTGAACATCACCGTGAGTGATAGCTTGGAATGAAAATTTTTGTCATAGCGTAGAATGAGTGATGATTGGATTACGGATATGAATCATGTAGGCTGCAAATTGAGCTTGGGACTGTTGAATGGCTTGTGCTTGTGTGAAAGAAAATGAATCAAGAACATAGAGTTCCTTGATGACCCTTCCCGCCGCAAGAACCTTGTTTGTTCTAAGGTCCCGTAGTTAGAGATGTAAATCAACAAAGAATTTGAAATAAAGGTTATTTACTTTAGCAAGTTGTCTTACCGAAAGTAAATATACTTGAAATTTGGTAAAAAAGACAAGAGGTTAAAGTGACTAAATTGGACAAAATTACATCTCCAATATGTGAAACTGAGCTGATGCTTCTATCAGGGAGCCAAACGGGGGTAAAAAGAGAGACATGTTTGGTATTAATCATAAGAGAAAGATCAGTAGACATGTGTCTGGTAGCACCACAATCAGAAACCCAAGAACCAGGCCTTATACAATCAGAAGGTAAATCATTGAGTTTAGTTAAGCAAGAGCTACCTGCAAAAGCATCAAAATGGGCAAAGTTCACCATTGATCCACCACTGCTCACGGGTGCTTTCCCTTTAAGAATCCGTCCCACTTCCCTTTGCACTGCATTAGAAATAACCATCTGTAAATCATCTGTTTCTCCTTGTGTTGGCTGAGACTGCTCCAGTGGAGTTTCTTCCGTAGAAACCATATTTGCTAAGCTATTGTTTTGTCGTGATCTGAACTTCTTCTTATATTCATCCCATCAGCTTGAAGCATCCATCCTTAATGTGTCCCGTTCTGTTACAATATGTGCAAAACAAAGCACTCTTATCTTGTTTCTGATATGTGCCTCCTCTATATCATGTGTTGCTTCCTGCAATTCTAGCATTGCTCGTCATTGATTTCATATCAGGTGGTTTGTTAGGACCAGGTTTGTATACATGTGGCCTTCTCCAATCTGTGGTTTTAGCTATCATTGCTGCATTCTCTTGAGATATAGACATTCTTGTACTGACTTGCCTGTGTTTCTTAGTTATAAGTATCATGTTATAAATCTAATTGACTGAGGGCAAAGGATCCATGGGCAAGATGTTACTCCTTTCCTTCTCATACATGTCATGCAATCCTATCAGAAATTCCATTCCCTTATCCTCTGCCTCCCTAGTAATCACCAAT